AGAAATGTGCTCAAAAATCGTATATAACTTTAGTGTACGCTTGAGGTTTCAAAGATTTATCTCTAGTCCATTCCACCTTGCAGGTAAATCCTTGGAAAGGGTAATACGACTTCAGTAAGTTCAGAAGTTTCCGTATTTCTAAGAATTTAAATCGGATCTATCTTCATATATCAAGGATTTGCTGAAATGGGAACGGCGCGTATTCCAAAGGGAGTAGGTATGTAACTCTAACAATACGAATATAAAAAATATATAATACAATCACAATGAGTTTCTAAAATCCGTACAAAGTAGTTCTTATTGTGAAAATGTAAAATATCTACAACAACGAACGTAGAAAATTAACAATATGAAAATGGTATTGCTCACTGTAATTTTAATGGAGGATGCACACTTCCACTATGTGTTGCGTTAAGACTGCCGTTTATTAATCTTTCTTCATAAAGTGTTTATATTTGGTAAAAAATTTGTGATTTAGTTTAGAATAGATCATCCAATACAGAATTTTATTACTTCATATGGTGCATCTTACAGAAAAACGGCACTCAGCACGAACTGTTTTATTTATTTTAGAACCTTTATAACCTGTTCATCAACATTGGAAGAATGTTTTGTATTGGACATGGATTGTAATTCTTCGTGTGAATACACGTTTGTACAGATTAGATAGTTAGTTTTCGTTTTATTTGGCTCGGGTTCTGCTAATAACATATCAAAATTTTAGAAAATTGAATACAATGTGCAGCAAATTATATGAAATAAACGTACATTTATTAGGAAACGTCTATATGGTAATAAGATTGGTACATAAGCTCTTGAAAATAAAAATAGTTAAAAATAAACCAGGAGCATTATCTGAACAAAAATATATCTGAGATCATGATGGATAGTAAGTACTAAAAATAGCATCTGATACTATTGTATAAGTCATGACATATAGTATGCCTATAGCTAAGAGCTAATCGAAAACCGTTGCTTAAAATACAACAAGAGTTATGACAGCGGTGAAACTGTATTGAAGTGTATATACATTTCTCCAAATATTCTGCTGTCAAAAAAGCTTCCTGGTTTATGTTGAGTGGTCGCTGTAGGAATAAGATCATATTTACAATTTTGAAAATTTAATGGATGATATGCAACTAAAGTTGCTTGAATAAAATCAGCACTTGTTATATATTCAACACAGACCATGATTTTTTAGAATGAAAAAAATAAGAACCCGAGTTTGGCTATTGGTGTTCAACGGGTATGCACAAAAAATAGCGTCGACTTCCATATATGATTAATAGTGTTTTTATGTAAAAATAGCCAAAGTAAATAAAAAGAAATCATAGGAGGATCTGCTGGGCACTAGCCGATCGCATCTAGTGGTGTAATATACTCTCCAACACGGGGCCAAAATTCAAAGGGTGCTTCTTTGACTATTTTGCCCTCAGAAGATTTTCGAAGTACCGCTTCATTTGAGAAAAACATAACATTAGAAATTTTTTTCCTGAGCGACTATCTAGTCCCATGAAGTTATAACAGAATAGAAAGTGAAACAATCTAAATTAAAATTAACTTATTTGAATCGCCGGGCAGAGTAGCCCAAACGTAGTATTACTATTTTAAAAAAAGACAGGATTGCTCTTATCAGCTTACACTTTTTTGTACTGCTTCCGTCATCTTGAGAATATAGTAATCTTGGTAAGAGATTGGTAATCAATGATTCAAAAAACATACGAATATAATTTTTCAGACCACTTAACTAAGAATTCCAGTTGTGTCATTATTGCCTATAGTATAAATATATACAAGTAATATTGAAGTTCATTTTATCTACCTAAATCAAATCCGAATACATTTCTTTCAACCAACGGATCAGGTTTTCCAAGAATATTGATTCTGACACATTATTTAAAAGTTGTTGTTTTCCATGGTGCCATGCAAGGCTTAGTTGTTATGCTGTCAAAATTATGTTATACAATTATTCCAGAAAAACTGACTTATAGTGGCTCCCTCCAGATGCATGTGTCTCCAAAATAAATCGGTGTTTCCAAAATGGTCAAAGAACGAAGTCTCTGGTAAAAAAGTGACTGTACGCCCGTTTATTCTGAACGTCTCTCTGTTAACGGAAAATTAGGGACAAGTCCTCGACTCACACCTTGATGTGCAGCTAATACTACAATAGTATTCACCACCTTATCTTGATGGAGATTCACCACTGTAAGACCTGTGAACAGTTGCGATTAAAAGGGCCTGAAATATCCTGCTGTCGATTCCATTTTATTTTTTTTGAAGAGATTTTAGAAATATCCCCTGACCACGATAGCAATAATCGATATCTATTTGTGAATAGATTTTAAATAACATTTTTTATGTAGGGGAATTTTCCAGTGTCTGTATTATACAAAATATAATAACGAAAAAGTTAGCATTATTCAATAGCAGTTTTATTTTTGAATATTTCATTATATAGGGTTTTTAAATAGGACATTTTTTAAACAAAGATTTTGATAAGAATATGCGGAAGACAAGTAGCATTTAAAATATAAGATTCTATTTGGATTGAGTTTGTTATTAAAAATGGTACCTCCACCAAAATAGCATGATGTGATCTCTTTTTGCATACATTTGAGTGCAACAATAATACCTTTTAAAATAGTATTTAAATATGCGCAGTAACGTTCTTTAATTAATATCTAATATTTGATACAATATTAGCGATTATCACGTGCTAGATATGGTGCCGACTATTGTTGAAAATATATTGGTCTAGAATGTTCATTTCACCACGAATATCATACATCACATGTATCATAGGTGTTAAAAACGGTACCAATGACTAAGAAGAGCCTACGTGGCAGCAAGGCGGGCAGCTTTAAGCAAGAGTTGTCATTTACGCATGAATATGAACCATAATGACAAACTTAATCCAAATAGTCTCAGAACTTCCCGAATATGTTGCACTGTAGAAATAACGATATAATATTATAGTGAAATATACATATCTAGCTGTAGATAACCTAGCCTATCAACAAATACTTATAGCTGTGTAGAAAGCATGTAAATATGAAATAATAATTGTTTATAGGCACTATGGGGCTATAAAGGGTCCCCGCTAAAGTGCCTACTTATTAATTTGTTGATTTTTGAACAGATCGCATACCAGTTACTTGCACAGTTCAATAAGAATAATAACGACATAGAAGATAAGAGTCACCACTGACGAACAATATTTGATTTTTTAGTATGAACTGATTTGTATATGGTAGAATTAAACGTACCTGAATATTCATGTTTTAGCCGTCATAACTACGCCATTACCCGAAAGAGTCTTAGAACTCGACCCAAATCTCATTTTAGTCTTACCTATTTTCGTCAAAATATTCTTCCTTCACCTACCTTAAGTGATGTGCGATATATTATCGATATATAACTGTTATTAATAACCGGTTATTAGTCAGTAACTGATATAACGGAATAAGTTTAAAATATCAGATAATGCTTTAGATATTTTGAATGCTTCATATTTCTTATATTGCTATAATCAGATATCATATTTTTCATGATTGAAGTCTCGGAGAATAAACAGTCGTACATTTAGATATTACCGTATAAATTATATGTGGATACAAGTCATAAAAGCATATATGGACCGACATTCTTATGATCCACTATCCCGGTATTGTGATACAACATTCGCGTTTTATTGTAGACTTTGGCAACTTCGATATAAAGGAACCATGGATAAAAGGAGAAATTCATTTTCTCTAATCTTATTTTGAAGGAGATTTGTCGAAATATAAACCATTAAATGCAGATGTTCACTAAATTAAAGTATCTCACACTCTAGCGGAAAATATAGTAGTTGGAGTACAGCACACGAAAGAAATTGATGTATGACCTCCGTCTTTACCTGGTATCGTTTTTATCTACGGGGTTTGTCCGGGAAGTAATGAGCTTCATTTATTTGTGACGCAACTTGGCGACGTAGCGCGACGCGACCAGTTGTGAAGGCTGGGGAAACCTTCAGCTTTCCAGCTGTGTTTCCAGTGGTACACGGTTCAATGGTACACTTGCCAGTTATTAAGTTTTGTGTGAAACTAAACAAGACACCGAAGGAGACGTTGGATTTACTTTAAACAGCGTTTGGAAACGCCTGCCTTTCATATTCACAAGTAAAAAAGTGGCACAAGTCCTTCCAGCTCGAATGAGCAAGTCACTGGTGAAATCCATGGCCATCGGCTTTTTCGATGCTACGGGAATCGAGCACCATGAGTTTGTACCCCCTGGCCAGACCGTCAATGCTCAATTTTCCAAAGAAGTTCTTCAAAGACTGAACCACAGGGTCGCCCGCGTCCGAAGAGAAATTCGGTCGTCATGGATCGGATCGGTGTCACGACGGTGCCCCAGCCACCGTACAGTCCCGATCCGTCCCCAGCGGACTTCTTTTTGTTTCCTCGACTATAAAGGGACCTCAAGGGACAGCATCTGGATACCCTAGACAACATTCAAGCTACTTTGACGGCCTCCCTAAACAGCATCCCAGTCGAGGAGTATACACGCCTTGGAAATCACGCTGACAAAAGTGTATCGACGCAGGAGGGTGCTACTTCGAAAAATATTGAGTTCATTCACTTAAATTATCAATTAATTTTGAAAAAAAATAAAGCTCATTACTTTCCGGACAAAGCTTGTATATGAGAATTTCCATGGCAGTCTCAGAACAATGTTGGATAAAGCATAACACAGTATTAATAGAAACGATGACAAGGGTTAGAACTTTTTATTGACCTCTCATCTTAAGTTATCTCTGTCTAGCAGTAACTGTAAATAAGCGATACCTAATATATATAGTTGACTGCCAAGTAACAGTTAACTATGTCGTGGAACCGACCCTGGAAGTTGGACAATAAACATGTTATCAGTTTAACTACCCATACTGGTATGCGATTTATTCTGTTCCATTACCCTTTGTGATAAGAGTATTTATAATAAATACATTCTGTCATGGTAGGTGAAAATAGTGAGGATAGTAGATATTCGCATAATAATAAATGATTCTTGTTTTCTAATGTATACTCCTAAGAAATTGCATTGCTATTGAGCAATACACGTTGACGATAACATAACTTTATTAAAGGAATTGTGATTCTTTTCCAGTAAGCATTGATGGAATTTTTTTACTATGTAATATCTTATGGTGAAAAAGCAAACTAGCAGCATAATATCGCTATGCCGATATTTGGTTGAAATATGGAAGTTATCTAAAAAGTTTTCTATAAATTGATCTAATTTATTGTTAAAGAAGAGATTCGCAATTTTACTAATAAAGATGTCTGAATAGTTCGGTAATATTTTGATTAGATTCAGCACGGAATAATAGCTGTGGGTCTTATAATTTAAGAATATTTACTTGAACTATGCTTTTGTTTATAAAAAAGATTATTTGACATCCGATAACTACTGGCAATCACCAAAAATGGCTCATATTTGAAAACTAAACTTCATTGTGGTAAAAAGATTATTGGGGTGTTGGATGATATTCAAACGTCTATGCTTATTTTACGCGCAGTGACGCTAATCTGGATATTGCCGCTTATGACCGGGCACAGACGTGAATGTCCAGCCATTTTGGACAATTTTAATGACGCGCTGTTATCATTGGCCGGGAAATGACGTTAATATTCGTCAAGCAGCGGAGGAGGATGATAAAAGTAGAATGTAAGGTTATTACACGCAATGATCTTTCCATTACCTACAAGAGTATTTATATTTATCTAAAATTACTTTTATGGTTGCTGAGATTAAACAAAGAAAGACGTTGGCATCAAGTCCAGGTTCAAGGAATTAATAATATTTGTGATGTCCTCGTTGTACTTTCTGATATTATTTTCTTTACGAACATCGTTTATATTTTTTATCCGATTGTTCTTTTGTCAACATTGCCCAGCCCTTCTAGGCCATTAACGTCAATGCCCGGACAAAGACGTTAAAATGAGAATATTCATGTCAATATCCGACCATTCCAACATCTATATTGATTAAATGAAAAACGTAGACCTATTATAGCACCAGGTCACTTGAAAGCAGTACCGATTTTCTGGAAGATATCTATGTATGTACTGTAGTCATTATAATAGTCTTCCATTTATCAGTAAATAGACCGTCCAGTTTAGATTGAATCAAACCTCATTTGCTAATTGATATTTTTCAAAAAGCTGCTATTCACCGGTGTTGCTATTTTTCAATTATAGACCACATTTTTGCCTCGTACAGTAACTAATCGAATTTCAAATATTGTGTTTTTAATATTATCGTATAGATTGATGTCATATAAAATTAAATAAGGGAATATATATAGTCTTGAAAAAGATCCTATACATACCTTGATGGAGAAGGTCATTATTGTCCTCATAAATTGTATCCATCAGCTATGCAGCTCAGGGTATAAATAGGCTAAGAAATCCTACAATTTTGGATAACGCTTCCTAATGATGAATTCAAACTGGCATCACGATACGGATGAAGCATTTGCCGCCATGTTTTGATCGCCAATATTAAAATCCATAGACCCTATGCAAAGAAAAAATAATAGAAACAATTGTATTAATTTTTTTTTCTATAAAAATTTGTCGTATAGTCAATAGATGACGCGAAATTCAAGGGTAAAGGTACATGTAATGATATTTCCCCTTATAATGGCTAAACTAAGAATCAAAGACTACCAAACACTATTATTTTTTGTGATAAAGTTTGCTACAAAAAAGGTATTTTACGTTTTTTTGACAACTTGATGGTTCTCGAAGTATAAGGGGGGAAGTTGGAAATTCGTATTAAAACAGTCGCGCGACATACTTCACACTCTACGTACGTTGTCCACGTTATCCTCATAAAACGTTACTTTACGTGGATATAGCCTTGCCTATAGTCAAGAATACCATTTTAAAGTGAATTCATTTTTTATTATCACTTGAAAGTATGGAAAATGAATTATTTTTTGATAATCTGTGATATTTTTATAATGAAGATCAAGTCACTCACTTCCATCAGTCTGTCTGTTGGCGATTTTGTCACTGACTAATTTCAGTAACCATTGCAGCAATTTTAGTGTATGAGGAGGTGTAATAGATAATGCTGGCTCATGGCATCAATCCTTCTTCATTAAAATCGTTACAATGGTTGTCGAGGCTACGTAGTGACAAAATTGATTATATATTACTTTTTTACACAGGATCCACGGTTTCAGATATTTGCGATCAAACGCGTTTGAACTTATCATTAGGAAGCAATAATCAAACGACTGAACTGCAGCCAAAATTGTAAGAAAAAATTGCCTATTTCCTGGCCTAAAAAGTGTTCGGCCAATAATTACATACTTTGCTAGATCAGAGGTTGAATGCACTGTGGACAGCTTAAACCTATGTTGCAAGCGCATGGCGACCAGTCTCATTACTTATCATACGCACTTTGTACTTCATTGTATCATCATAAGCAAAGAACAAGTGAATGGTATATATTCGTGCTTGGCAGTGTCAATGGAAGGAATGTAGAACTGGTGTACAAACAGTAGCATTACAGATACGAAGGTATGCGGCAGTGCTGATTTATCGAATGTCGTGCTAACTAGAACAATACATTACTAGCTGGTTAGAATCTCAGACGCGATGTTGACGCAAATAATTTAGAGAACCGGTTTTGCTATTTTGAGGATGATAAGAATGTCCTACATGAATGAATGAGTGAATTCTATCAAGTAAAAATTGATAAGATCCTTGAGTGACCACCAGCAAGAAGTAACGAGTTCGCTCTCCTTCCTCAAGCTCATTGTATGGTAACGCGTTCACCACTCTTTGTAAATTCTAAATTCTACAACCGACTACTTAAGTGCAGCAACGGTCCTACTAACCTTCTCCAGGAAAAAATATTTCTACTATACATCCAAGACTATTAGTATAAATTTAATATAAAATGAGAATATTTGTTGCACAGATAGTCTCAAGAAAGTAATTTCAACATACCATGACTTCCTAAGTCAGTTACGATTCCGTGACGAACTCTCAATATTAGAAAAACGCGCACACCCCACAATACCAAGCTATTAAAAAACAGAAACACGAATGGTTTCCGTCTCAGTTTAGCTTCATCGCAGATATGCCTATAGTGTTTTTCACACAGGACACCTCTTTTTTATTCTTTGAACGGATCAAGTTAGCGACCTGAAATTGAGGGTTATGAACGTATAAGTTATACTTGAAAATACTAAGATGCAGTAGAGCATCAGTTTGGAGCATTATCAAAATAGAATTGGGAGTCATTCGATTTTGAACCTCCTTGTGAGTACTTCATAACTCTAGAATATAAAAAATATGTCTGGCAAGCTGCCATACTTGAACGTTTTTGTACATTGAATCAATCCTCAAAATGCTGTAGTATATGTTATACAATATATGTTATATCGATAAGCTCCTTCCGATAGGATCGATCTGGATATGTGATAAAACGTGCAACACACGATTTAAAAAAAATTATCATAAGCTGTCCGTATTTTAAAAGGACTGTTTTTGATATATCTTATTGCACATTCATCAAAAATTATATCAAAATCCGAGAGGTACTCATGTCAGACAGACACACCAACGGTAGTCAGTGACATGGTTTTTAGTGATATATGAAATTATTGGATTTCTTATTGCACAAGTTATAAAAGTAACTTAAGTAGAAGCCGTCGGTGGCCCGCCTAAAATGTCTGAACCGTTCGTTTGTCCCGACTGTTGAAACGGGTTGAGCAGCTTCGTAAAGCTTGCCGGACTTGTACCGACAAAATCGTTATTACCTATCCGAATTAATCCGATCTGTAAATCGCAACTCATATTTTCAAAACTCATAGCTATAGGTTGAGCCTTGATAGACGTTCTGACACCCTGCTTAGCTATGATAATACTACGATTGCTGATTAATGGTACTCAAAAAGGACCTGAGAGTATTATCGCTTCTTTCCATTGACTGCTTGGTTAATAGATTAAACCTAAAACGCAGCTGATATCAAAATATTACCAATTGATTCAGGCTTAAAAATCGATTCATCTCCGATTTTAGTTTAAATAAACATAATTATTATACATAATTTAATGAAGGCAATAAGTTTTGGTATTTCTTACTGTTAATCCTAGTAAAAGTCTCTACTGCACATACTTTTTATAGGAAATTAAATATATATACACGTAGATGACGCTGAAAATGAATGTGTATATTTTGATTTGCGAGTTATAGAAAATAAATATATATATAGCTGTTACCTAATGTGGATTAAGTATATTTTATTACTATGTTGTTTTTCTAATTTGTGATTAAATAGGTGATCTTTTGCACATCAGTTATTCACTTGAATATATTGACTTCGTTATATTCCATATGTGCCATGTCCAGATGAAATAGATATCGAAGGCACATAGGCGCATAAATTATGGTGCTGCTTAATTTGTAAGGAATACAAAAGTATAATGTGAATGTTTTTAGATTTTATGACAAATTATGAAAAACAGCCAGGTGTTAGTGATGGAAAGTTCTGTATAATGAACATGAATGTGTTTGCGCCTGCACAATCAATGTCTTGGCATCCGTTTCAACTGACAACTGGACATGACCTTATATTCTATTTTTTTTTTTATTTCCGTATGGCTTATGTATCTATATGCTCCTCAAAAGCCGTACTTTGGAACGAGATTATTTTGGAAGTATTATTATTTTTTTAAGATGACAAATAAAATAACTAATTTTCTTCACTTTGTAAAAAGCGTACTTATACTTGTAAAATTATATTAATCTCGCGACAATGTAATTTTACTCACATTGTTGACAATCATATTTTTTATCTGTGTATGCACAATGTATCGAGTCTTTCAGCAGCAACCAGTAATCTCGAATAATGATATTCAAGACTTTTGCATGGTATACATTTTTTACATAACATATAACATCAATATTTTTCACCTTACTGAAACTACAAAATACTTAGTTGGTGGTTATGGACTTCCACTTAAAGCGATTTATTATGATTAGTGAAATATGAAACATTCCTAATATCAAAATTTTTGAGCTCCGTAAAAAACCCAAATTGATCGAAAACCCGAAGAATGGAATTTGGGAATGATCTGTTTTTCTTTTTTTGCCCATAGCTCCGCCGCCACTGGGCCAATTTTCAAAGCATACAAAACTTTTTCGACCTTGGCATGGTAGTAGCCTGAACCCAAAGTTTCCTCAAAATTAATTAGGTACTTACCGAGATGATAAATTAAAATTACCAAACAGAAAGAGAATGGGTGACGTTTTTTCGTAACGCGATTGCCATTCAATAAACATATTGGTAGGTCCAGTAAACCGACTAACACGAGGTCTCTACAGACAAGCGACAAATACGAATATCTCGAATTCGAAGTTTTTAAATCACATTTCTTCCTCATCAGTTGGCGAATTTGACGGTTTTCGCTGTGGTCAAACTTTCTCCAATTGGCGTAGTATCAAGAAACGATTTACAGCATGTTTGAGTTAGCAAAATTCGGTTTCAATCAGTTTTGTCTTCTAAAATTTGCAAAAAATAGCTCGGTAATGACGTACTTCCGGCGTAGGTAAATAAATTCTTACACGAAGTAAAAATCATCATAGATTACGAAAGATATTAGCCAACATCCATATCATTTTATATCTGTAGAATTCGTATCTCAATAAAGGAAAATGCCAAGAATTGTAAGGTAAATATCTGCAGAGTTTTCTCGTTCTTACGCGGCAGATTAAGCGGCAATTTTTTAAGTATTACGTAACTTAAAAGGTGACATATCGACTCTTAATGACATGATTCTGGTTTTTCCAGAAGAATGTCACCTTGTAACAAGCTGCCATTCACTTCATGTTCACTTCTAGTAGCTGTGTGTGTTGCCTAAGTGTCATAACACTTGAGCTATATGGTTTGGCTCTGATGTCATATAATATCTGCTATACTATTGCCGGAACCACGGTCGTTGTGCGATTCCTCCATAGGTGGGCTAGATACTACTTAGTACCCAACTTGACACGGACCACCGGACACCATATTGGTGAGCGACGGACTGGCTATGCAGGTCAAGGGACGTATTTACAGCGTATCCCAAAAGTATGGACACACTCAAATATCTCGGAACCTAAGGGTTCTAGAAAAAACTTTGAATACAAATGCTTTATGATACCAAAAATGGCGCATCTAGTGGTTTCCTTGGATTTGACTTTGACATTTAGCTTGAAGGTCATTTCAAGTACAAGTTGATTTTTTCAAATTGGAACCCCCATTTATTATTGCGGGAACTAGAAAGCCAAAAAATTTCCTTTCCAAATGTATAAATATCATAGGGGCTAAAATTACACCTGGAGGTTATTTCAAGTTACTCGTTCATGGAATGTTGTGAAGCAGCAGAAAGCTGGAAAAGAAGAATATTGAAGAACTTTCAATACCAAAATTGCAAGACACCCACTGGAACATCTGATAGTGACCTTCATTCTGACCTTGACTATGATCTTAAAGGTCAGTTCAAATTTTTTCACTTGGAAACCCTTAGTTTTGACCCCAGCCCAGAAAATGATATTTCAAGGTCAAAAGACCTATTTTCGTGTATTAGACTGAAAGAGCCGATGATCTTTGCAAGTGAAAAAAGAGATTTTGTGGCCGATCACCTTCCCTTTACTCGGTGGACACTTCACCTCAACCAGTCCCGCCTTCACTGGCCGGACATTAGCCTGTCTTGCCTTTATTGACCAAAAATAGTTTTACCTCAATCTCTTTTTTCGCAAAATTGAGGGTTTCCTTGCAAAAAATCAATTTGACCTTGAATAAACCTTCAAAGTCATAGCCAAGCTCAGAATGAAGGTGACCATCAGATGTGCCGTTTCGTCTCCTGCAATTTTCACATTAGAAGTTGTTTAATACCCTTCGTTTTCCAGCTATACCCTATTTCACGAGTATCCATCACGGTAGAATGAGAGCTGATTATCTAGTAATATCTCCAAATTCCCCATATCGGCACAGGACACATAATTTTGACACATCCATCAATGCCAGGTAGTCAGAGCCGTATTTTGTTTTATTTTTGTGTACGCTACAGATTCATTTTGTACTTGCTAACGGCTCTTTTATTTAGAAAAGTTCATTTGGATACAAAAACAAAACGCCATAAACAAGTTTTACTAGATTTATACTCGATTCATTATTGACAACGTTGCAGAGTAGCACAAAAATGTCACTTGCTGATCAGCTGTTCACCTCGGTAGACCTCAAAGCGTGTAAATACTCGTGAAATAGGGTATATCCTGCGCCACAACATTCCATGAAAGAGCAATAATTGACCTTGAAATAACCTCTAGATGGAATTTTAGCCCTATGATATTCATACCATTGAAAAGATTTTTTTTTATTTCCATTTCTGCATTAAAGAATGGAGGTTCCCATTTGAAAATATCAGTTTTAGCGTGAAATGAGCTTCAATCCAAGGTCACCACTAGATGCGCCATTTGATGTCTCATCTAGCACCCTTAGATTCCTAGATATTTAGGTGTGTACATACTTTTGAGATACCCTGTATGGTACTTCGATAGAAAAGTCTAGCGACGTCGCTATGACATCCTGATGAGGGAAGGCTCTGAGCGGCGACGGGGTTCCGCCGTAATGTGGAATTCCGTTTTACGGGTTTGCCTAGTCAAATGTACAGATCATTTACGGAAATTCGAATGCTACAATGGAAATAAGATTTCAATCGTACTACATACTACCAGCAATTATCTATTTGTGAACAGCCCAAAGTGAACCTATGGAAGCGTTTCGGACTCAGCTGGATAACCATACAAGAAAAATTTCCAATACATCCGTAGGCATAAGGAAATCAGGGATCTTTGTCAAATCCCCGATGTAATTTTATCCACTGTTTCAAAAAATTGGTAGCTAAATATTATGTTCCACGTGATACTGCACCATCAAGCGTCTAACTAGCAACGATTTATACGCGATAGTTCAATTCGAACCATTTTATAAATTCAGGATCTAAAATATAGAACTCGATAAATTGGAGAAAATAGATAAATAGATTCGATAAAAACAGTTGACGTGAAAAATTGTTGTGAATTTGATTTGTGTTCTCAAGCCTTTTTTAATTAATTTCGTCTGTCACTGTATAAAAGCAATTAATTGATCAGGATTATATATTTATTCGTTTTCAAAGTTGTTTCCAGAGGAAAAATCAATCGCTTGGTAAATTGTATTCAGTGTGCCGATTGATAAAATTATACAAGTTGAAAATTATAACGCGTTTCAGGAAAAATACATTTGTCTGGCAAGAGTGATGGCTTGAAGATCGAAAAATTTGCAATGTTCAATAACGTTATAAGTTCCAGTATACGAGAACTAACACCACCATTTTCAAGCTATGGTTCGTAAGATGTATATTGTGCAAGATAAATTATTTGGTCTGATTTTTAATACCAAACCCAATTTCATATTAGTTTTGAAATTGGATAACAATATTGTCCGATTTTAGTTATAAATGTTTGTTGGAAAATGTTTTTGATTTCTATTTACAATTAATTTTTAGAATCGCATTCTATTCTAATGGATATATGTCAACAGTGAGTGAAATTACCAAGTCGAAGACTTTACTTTCGAGAAACAATGCTTTAAATAATACTATCAACTTCTATAAGCATCGTAGCATACGTACGATAAGAAGTTTAAAACGGTATCGTGCAAAATAGTCCATCTTCTAGTAAATATAGGCATATCATATATTACAAATTTCAGCTTTCTATTGTTATGAACCTCCTAAATACTACCTACTAAAACTTATATTACACTTCTGCTAGAACATAGAAGGTACCTAGATTAATAAGTAGTTAAAAGATTGTTATGAAATTGTGAAAAAACATACGCTATTTCTTGTTATGGAATTATTAAACATGTTGATATGTTAAAGTGATTTTAGTTCTCCTCACACAGTTGAAACATTATAATCTATGAGAAATAAATTTATCAGAGAAGATTTTTGTAGTTTCTTGTAAGTCCTTGAGCAAGAATCTCCATCCCTGATAATTAACTCAGATCCAGAATTACAAAGCACATTACAGGGTGTTTTTAGTAAGTGTCCAATATTTTATAAGAGGTATTGCACCCTTATCGAGATACAAGGTGTTAAAGCTAGTACAATTAGGAAGGTCCCTATAGTTGAAAATACTGCTAGTTTCACTTGCATATATTAGTATAACAAGTACATACCTACATTTGACAAATCTGAAAGAATTATTCCCATACCTTAAAATTTGAGGAAGTTATGCCATTTTATGTGTTGGCTGCTGTAGCCGACCGCCCTGGCACGTCGAGGTTCAGTCGTGACGTCACATTACATAAGTTCGGCTTCTGAGGCACAGGACTGACGTTTCCGGACTGCGAGACGGCCCTTGCATCTCGCACTTAACCTTAGCGCTCAAGGTGACCGGTCCAAATACACGATTCACAAGTCGTGACCAAAAATGAAACATCATACACAGGACCGCAGTTTAAGGAGGGTCTTCTATGTAACACTTTTTCCTTCATACAACATAAAAAACAATTTTTTAATATCTTCAAAACCGTTCGCTAGAATGAACTAAAATTTGGTTTGTGGATTCGCCTAAGTATTGTCCACATTCAAAAGTCTTCACTTAAAAGTAACGTGCACCAGTGGCGGAGATACATAGGATTAGTGGCATTATTCTTCCAAATAAATTTTACTCTCAATTTGCTACAATGTATTTTTTCGTAAATATAGAAAAAATAAATTAGATAATCGAAGTTTTATTTCAATAAATGTTCAAAAAGACACCACCGTTTTAACGGATACAAGAGCGGCATCTTCTTAATGAAGAAAAATGTTCTTCCGCAAAATTTGTTGTGGCTTGAATTTGATGAAACGCATTATCTATTCTTTCTTGTAACTTATCAACAGCTTTAATTTGTTCAGCATACACTAGTTGTTTAGAAGCGCCTCACAAAAAGAAATCCAGGAGGGTCAAATCAGAATACCTCGCAGGCCAATGTACGGGTCCGTTTCTGCAAATCCATTGTTATCTAAAATGATTATTTAACCATACGATTATGTCACAATGAACATGCGGTGGGACACGGTCGTGCTGATACCACATTCGTTCTCTCGTTGCTAACGGAACATCATCAGTCACATTTTCTATGTAATTTTCTAGTAAAGCTAAGTATGAAATTGCATTTAAACGTTGCAAATGCCGCACCAGACATTTCTAGAAAATCTCTGTTGAAACGAGTGGATTCTTACAGAACGGGGATTTTCTAACGACCAAATATGTTCATTATGAGAATTAAAGGTTCTACTCCTAGTAAAAAGCGATTCATCTGACCACAAAACCAAATCAATAAAATCTGCATTTTGATTACGAGTATGCATTTGCAGTAACCACTAAAAAAATTTCGCCGCTGCACTTCGTCGCCGGGTTGCAGACATTGCACATTTTGCCGATGGTAAGGATGTAAAACTTCCCGATTCAAAATTATCTACGCAAGACTTTGAGAACATGATAACCTGGCTGCAATCCGCCTAGTACTTCTACTCGAATCATCCAACGCCAAATTAATCAATCATCTTTAACAGTATGCCGGACACCATGGCCTCTAACTTTGGGATAGGTTGGCGTCTATGAGGAAATCTTCGTTGATACCCCCGAGAAGCCGCTGAGGCATTTCCATTACAGAACTCGTAGGTACACAAAAATAATATCGGCGTGTTCGTCATTGCTAAATTCCATTTCACAACATTCAAAAATGGGAAAAAGAAACTTTTGATTTGACTTTTACAAAAAGAAAATGGTAGTAACGATAACAACTTTGACAAACTATCTCCCAAGTTGGTATCAAGGCCTCCTATTTTATTATGAAACTAATAAATTGTATATCGGTTTTTCTTGAATGATCTAATTTGTTTTATTTTCAGGAAAACATTGCACTCTAGGAAAAAACACGTGAGTAATTATTTGTAGCAAATTGAATGTAAAATTCGAAAGACTGCGCGTTTCAAAAAAAACAGTGGCGCACTATTTTTATTTGGAAAAATAATGCCACTAATCGCCTGTATCTCCGCCACTGGTGCACATTAATTTTGAGTAGACTTTTGAATGTAGATAATACTTAGGTTAATCCACATACCAAATTTTAATGCATTCCAGTTGACGGTTTTGAAAATATTAATTTTATTTTTAAACTTCAGCACTCCATTCTTTTTAATGAAGTCCTCGAGGAAAAAATATTTCATAGAAGCCCCCCCTTAAAATGCGGTTCTGTGTACGATGTTTCATTTTTGGTCACGACATGTGTATCACCCTGTATATTGTTTGTATCTTGGCATAGACTGCTGTGCGATATTATAGATATACAATAAATAAAATGGAAGGTTTTCTGCGTACCGATTCTACTAATCTTCCAAACGTGGACATAATAATGGTTAATCCCATTACACTAATCCTGCAAAGATGGACATAATAATGACTAATGGTTTAATATAGTGTGGGAAACATTCGCTTCGGCAAGCATTAATATTTACAGTGGTTCAAAAGTCCTAACTATGGCCAAAATTAGAAAGGTTCACAGAATTTTACAATACAATCCATTTTCACGTTTTCCAGGTCGCTGATAACGAATATGATATCCAATGGATACATACAGCAACTACAAAGTTGTAATTTGGACACAAAAGTATTTCGCAAGTATTACGACTTCGATAACAAAACTAGGAATTATTCAGTTTTTAGTAAAAAGAACTTAAAATGTTATACTATTTTGTAAATAGCATCCAATAGCTAATTTTTAAGGTCATTTGCTGATTCAGTCTGGTACATTTTTTTCACAGTAATTAATAAAACTTTAGTAAAGGTTTTCGCATTGAAACCAAATGAATATTTTTTTTAGCATACTGTGCTCAACCAACTACTACTAACAGCGCAGGAAAAAAAGCATAAGTTAGGAGTTCTTTATAGCCGAATCAGGTAAAAAAGGAGCAAAAAGTAGGGATTTAAAATAAAATTATAAATGGCAATATCTCGAAAACTAGAAAACTTTTACTAAGGTCTTGTCGATTTTATTTGGTTGATCTGAAGCCAATTTACCCTCCGCGTCACTCTAGCGCGTTCTTCCTAAGACACCGTATAATGTCGCGTAATTGCCAAGATTGTAGTCAGCTGCAGCCAAATAAATTGACATATTTCTTGACTGGGTGTGTGATAAACATGGTTCTATGAATAGGACGCGAACTCTAATGCGCTTTTTTTAATCTCTTTGAATTCACTAATTACGGAAAATTATAAATTACAATTAACATGAAATACCATAATAATTATACACACCTTCGACTCCGTAATCCATTTTGCCACATCTCAATTCGGCTAATTACTTTAAAACGTGACACTACTCGATTATACTTTTTTGGACTTTTGGTCGGGTTTTTTGGTTCCTGAACCACTTCTATGCATATCCATTTCGACAGCGACGTGGTACCCCGTTATCGGTTATACCAATTTGGTTGTTTTGTCTATCATAATAGACATAAGACACTAATAATAATTGTGATCATATCATATTAACTAAATACACAGGGAAAAAATGTCTCAGTCACTATTGAACCGAATTTGACGACATTTTCTACAATAACAAAGTATCTAGGAGCAATGATTAACATATTCCACCAGGTGGTTGCACTTAGTGAAACATAAAGAAAAAAAATTGAATCATGTCCTGGAATTTTGAGTTCTCGAAACACTTTTAGTTTTAAACACTATATAACAACCTAAGTATACAACGTACTATTACATTCATAACTTTTTCTATCGCTTGTCCATATTCAAAATGAGTTTTATAAAAATGTACTCGTATTATTTGGTACATTTAAGCAATGATTGGCCCCGGTCAATGATTTTAGTTTATGCCTGTTCTCAATTAGGGCTAATCAAAGTTGAAAATATTGTCCTAACTTTAGAGCATTCCACCTAAATGCAAAATGTTTGCACACGACTATATAGAAATCGATTGCCATATTTTTTATGTAGTACCAGAGAGATCATCAAAGATAATATTATAATGAAAAACAATTTAATATTCCAAGTTATATTACTCAGAAAAACTGTAAAAAATTTATAAATAAAATAATGATTTGAAAAGACTTAAATATAAAACTGGATTGAGTAGAATATTAATCCTCCGTAATCGTCTCTGGTAAGGTATGAATGATGACTTTTCTCCTGGCATCATAAACGAAATTGTTGTTTTCAAATATTTTGCTTTGGTAGAACGTTTTCACATCATGAATATCCAACTGCTTAGCCTGAAAAGACAAAAATTGTCAAAACTTACTCTGAACATAGTGGATTCTAAACCACATCTTCCACAAATGATAATTCACCTTGATTTGTAGCATGCTGTTTGGCTAAATAGTATATATATATAGCGATTAAAATAAGTCTCACCTTATCAATTAGATCTTTCTCGTCTATTTCTATTGTGATACTATCCACTTCTGAAGTACTTCTTTGGAATGCGAGTTGATCTTGTGCCAGCTGTCTAAGGATGTAGAACAACAATTCACTGTGGTCTTTTTTAAAGGTCAGATACCTCTGGAACACCTGAAATAAAACAAAATGTGTATGCTAAAACCCATAGTACAAGCAGCGGAAGTTTACTGATATTTTGCCTGTCTGGTAGCCTCGTATGAAGCACAAAAGTGAAAACTAGCGCGAGGAAGTGGGGAGAGGTGTTAAACGACGCGTTCGGCGTGCGGGTTTCATTAGTCACAATGGAACGTTGGACCTGAGCGCAACGTGTTTTTGCTATCGATGCTGACAAGAGTGGTCATTCATACGCAGCTGCCCTTCGGAAATTTTGTACACGATACAACATTCGCCGACCAAGAGATGCCCCAAGTAAGAACCTATTGAAAAATGGATTAAGAGGTTCCGTGAAACCGGCTCTACTCTTAGTTAACCCATTTCTGACCCCACATCTACGTGATTCGGTCATTGCAAATCTTCGGCGTTCTGTACGGAAGCATTCCGCTGCTTTGGGAATTTCATCCTTATAAAAAAGTGATTACGAATTACGGAAATCTTGTGCTGAACGGATGTTGAATCTTTTTCCTACGCAGCGCAGTCTCGAGAACGTTGTTTTCAGTGACGAGGCCCATTTTCACTTAGACGGTTATGTGAACAAGCAAAATTGCAGATGTTGGGCACCAATGAACCCAAAAGAGAAACATCAACAACAGCTACATACTCCTAAGGTGACTGTTTGGTGCGCCATATCCTCTAGCGGTATTAGTGCGCCGTCTTTCTTTGAAGATGAAAACGGTCATGCGTTGACAGTCAATTTCGACCAATACAAGGACATGATTGACACTTTTTTGCTCCTATTGTAAGAACAGAACGTCGATTTACACAGTGAAAACACTTTTTCCTCAACAAGTTATATCGAAGTTTGGAGGCATTCACTGGCCTCCTAGGTCACCCGACCTCAAGCCATGCGATAATTTTTGAGGGGTTATCTAAAGTCAAGAGTGTATTCCAATAATCCACGAACACTGTAGGAGCTTAAAGACAACATTCGACGAGAAATAAACATCACTCCGGAACTCTGCAAGAGAGTGTCTTAGGATTTGCGCGCCCTATTAGAATAGTGTGTCCGAAGCGATAGCAAACATTTGGACGGAATGATAATTAAGAAATAAAACCCGCCGTATTTACGAATATGTTGATGGTATTAAATATTTTCTTTTCATTAAAAGTTTGCATTTTTTTCTTAAATCAAAAAGTGAACTTTCCCAATGGACGCTCTGTATTTTACGGGAACTACTATTTCTCGCATTTTGAATCCATGAACAATGCACATGCAACACGACTAGTACAATATCGCAGAATCTATATAAATCTCTGTCCAGTCTGTCAGCATTACGCCGGAATCATAATACGGAGAAACGAAGAAATGTGTATTCGTGCTAGCTGAAACCTGAAGAGTGTTATAAGCATGGTTTTCTCCACAAAAATATACAGGGTGTTCAAAAAGTATCGATCAAAATATCTCGAAAAATAAGTTTTCTAAAGAAAATTGTTGTAGAACAAACCTGTAAGGTTTGAAAAATTGGTGCTCTTGAACGTCATTGTCTATGACCTGCAAGATCATTTGTTGGGGAAATATATTTCTTAATTGAAACCACAATTTTTGACACCGGAAATGTAAAGAGCGGAAAGTGTTACGTAAAAGTATGTCTGGTCACGGCCTCAACCATATGCTCGCGGGTATTTTAGGAAGTCGAGAAAGTGGGAAAGGACAAAATATATCCAAAATTACATTTCATAAAAAAAAATTTGAGTAACAAAGTTGTAAGGTTTGAAAAGACCCAGAACAAAACCTTAACCATGACCTTCAAAAGCGCATTCGAAGGTCAATATATTTTTTTAATGGCAGTCCCATTTTTGGCAATGGAAATAAAAAGAGACATTATTTTCATGTTCATGACCTTGACTATGACCTTCTAGGTCACTTTAAGATGAACTTTCAAGTAAACTCATTTTTTGACTAAGATATAATAAACGAGACATTGAAATGATTTATTGTTGTTACATTAGAATGTTCATTAAAAAAACATTGATAATGTAACTATTGCATTACTCTGAATGTCGTATTTCATTCTCTGAAACCAATCTCCACAGTAATGCGAAATGAATGACATATACTTTACTTCTACGCGAGCGAAACCGCGGGTTTAGTCTAGCACTATATATCAGTAGAAAAAATAATAAACCTCCATTTATCAACGTCAACTTGTAAATTCAATTTGCATTTTTTGTTGTAGGTTTTGAAAAGGTTCAGACATTGGTGATCTTAAACGTGACCTTGACTATGATCTTCAAGATAATTTGAAGATCAAGACAATTTTCTTTAATGAAAGTCCTATTTTTGACACCGCAAATGTAAAGAGCAGAAAATTTTACTTGTATGTCTTTGGCGATGACCTTGACAATGATATTCACAGGCATATGAAAGTGTCCAGAAACTAGGGAAAAGACAAAATATCTCCAAAAAAGTTTCATAAAGAAAAATTTTGTGTAATAAGGTTGTAAGGTTTGAAATGATTCATCTAAAAGTGACCTTGACCGCAACTTTGACTATGACCTTCAAGCGCATTTGAAGATCAAGACAGTTTTCTTGAATGAAAGCCTTATTTTTGACACCGGAAATGTAAAGAGTCGAAAATTTTACTTCAAAGTATGTCTTTGGCGATGACCTTGATAAGGATATTCACGGGTATATGAAAGTGTCCAGAAACTAGGGAAAGGACAAAATATCCCCAAAAAAGTTACATGAAGAAAAAGTTGTGTGATAAAGTTGTAAGGTGACCGCAACTTTGACTATGACCTTCAAACTCATCTGAAGATCAAGACAGTTTTCTTACATGAAACCCCAATTCTGACACCAAAAATAAAAAGGGCAAGAAACTTGATATCCATGTCCATGACCTTGACTAGGATCTTCAAGGTTTTTAAGATCAGATAGTAAACTCCTTGTTTTGTCGAGGATAATGAAATTAATTTACTGTTACATTGAAATGTTGAACAAAAAAATCATTTCCAAAGCAACTATTGCGTTACTTTGAATATTACATTTCTTTTTCTGAAACCATTCTCCTTCCCACTAATGTCAAACAAATGACCTATACTCGTACTTAACACTACTTCCACGCGAGCGAAACCGCGGGTTTAGGGGTACTCTAAATCAGCAAAAAAAACATTTGCCGATGTCAACGTAGAAATTCAATTTATACTTTTTTAATTTGTGCTGTACTGATAAAGGTTAAGGGGGCAGCGGAAACGTCAGCAAAGCATCTCAGAACAGTGATATCTTACCTGTCTCATCGATTTCATGACACTGTATTTTTGGGTTTCAACAAAGCTTTCCAACATCATTCTCACAGCCATGTTGACGTCATCTTCTTGGACATACTCCCTCAAATGCATTCTAGCATGAGCCTCACTCATCCTGATTATGCTTTCCACATGACGCACTGTGATTGGAAGACTCCCTGTCGCCTAAAAAATGAAACATTTACGATAGAGAAGCCAAAAAAGCATGTCTGTTTAAAATGTCCAAATTACTTTTTGAAGTTATTCTATTGCGATAACTTACCAACGATTCTTGCCTTAACTGCGTATAAATATTAGCGACTTTGTCCTGGTCCATATTCTGTAGCTTGGGATGTATATTTTCTCTAGCATAAACAATATACTTTTTCAAAACGTCTTGTGGTATTTGGAGCTCATTTGTCGTCTCTTCAAAATCATCAGATCCCTTTTTGGCGGGGTGATGCCGAATGTGAGAGTCAACAACGAACCTAAAATTAAAAACAATTTTAAAGACAATCGAAACGGATTAGTATGAATTAATGATGAATTCCTCAATTAAATTGATACTAACTTTGCCAAATGTTGATCTTGAATAGGATCCACTTCATCCCTAACCACACACAAAATGTCGAACCGGGACAAAATAGGGTCGGAAAGATTGACGTTTTGTGCGAATGTCATACTGGGATCGTAACGACCCCCAATAGGATTTGCAGCTGCTATGACCGAGCAACGTGCTTGGAGACTGGTCACTATGCCCGCTTTTGATAGAGATATGGATTGTTGCTCCATCGCTTCGTGGATAGAGGTTCTGTCTTGATCATTCATCTAGAACAATACAATAGATACTAGAGATCGACATATATTGGATATTTCGAAATAAAACAGCAGTGCTTTCTGGCAACCTGGCAACTCACCAGCACAAAGAATGAACGAAAAGCACGAAACAGCGCCATGGGGGTGACCCGGCTATCAAATGCGAACTGAGATCTTCAGAGTTCCAACCAATAGCTTCTACTCACTCTTGCAGTGGTCCATTCTGGTAATATGTAGATGGCACTGCCTTATTTCTATAGATCTCTTAGGAAACTTGCTATAGCTTTCATTCATAGACCTAAATCAAGCCTAGACCCTGCTGATGAGATAGATCAAAGGCTGATATATCGGTATTATCAGCCTATCAGCCGTTGGTTTTTTTCAGTAGTGTGATTTGGAAACCATGGGTGAATAGTTGTTCACGTTGGCGGCAGCGTGTGTATGAAAAGCCTATCCTAATTTTCTGGTATTGGAATAACCCGTTTCGTGAAACAGATTTCATCAATCAAGTTTCAAGGAACCAGTACCACTTAAACATGGGAACGTAGGAAACCATCAATTACGACAGTAGTGATACGGATTCTTAATATGATGAAAGAAGAAACAGTTTTAGGTTCACCCATTGATCGGTAAAATACTACTTGAGCTTGGCTCATGCCCTCAGCTTGATCTTCTCGAATTCTTCAGCATGTTAAAACCACTTTCTGCTTGATTTTTTTCAATAGCAGTGAAAAACTTGCAAATCAAAAAGAAATTACTTCAATCTGGTCACACTGAATTAGGATTCAAAATTACACTCGTAATGTGAATATGCAGAAAACTATTGGGACAAATGTTTAATGTAGCGATCCAAAACATAATCAGTTTTTCCCGGTCTTCCGCGCCTGGACCTGATCCGTATTCTTGATATTTATTCATAATTTTCGAAATCGTCCCTTTGTTCATTTTTAATCTTTGAGAAATGTCAACATTTCTTACACCACTTCTAAATAATGCTTTGTCTCTTAAATCTTTTGAAAATACTTTTACTTTTGCCATTCTCACTGATATCAGAGTATCGCAAAACGTATAAACACTGCAACACTTGAATGTTTCCATACTTTTGTCGTTACAAAAACCGTGGTATTTGAGAAAACCCGTGTTTTCATTTCAAGAGAATTTGAATATTGATAAGATAAACCTTCTACAAGATGGGGCGTAGGAACCAAGTTTTTTTAGATTGGATAGTACGTGGCTATTGGAAAAGGAGGGGCCGTACACAATGTTAAAATCCATTTCTTGACTCAAAGCGTTGCCGCCATTTCACTTTCAGTCTCATGGACGTTAGAACAACTCGTTTTCGCTTACGATTATTTTGCTAGGTGTGGCGAGTCGGTGCCTGCAGTACAACATGAATTCCGCCGAAGATTCGAAAATCGGCGAGAATTGCATAAAAAGACACTCCACAGGCCTAAGGTAATAGTTTGGTGGGCGGTGACAAAATTCGGCGTCATTGGACCATATATTTTTTTTAATAAAATGGTATTACCGTTACTGTAACATCTGACCGTTACATTATTACGGTTAACAGCTTTTTCATACCTACCTTACAAAGAGGCGTGGATATGCAAGATTAGTGGTTTCAGCAAGATGGGGCCACGGCACATACCGTCAGAGCATCTATGGCTGTTCTTCGGCGCCTGTTTCCCGGTTTGGTGACATTTTACGGCTTCGCCGGTCCCTTGACTTATCCACATGCTATTTCTTTTTTGTGGGGATACTGTAAGTCTCGTGTTTACGAGACCAAGCCACGTACGTTAGATGCATTAAAGCAAGTGATTCGTCACGAAGTTAGTCTAATCAATAGAGATCTACTGGAAAGAGTAGAGGCAACTTTTCGAGAACGACCTCAGCAGTGCGTCAATGAAAACGGTCATCACATGCCAGCTGTTATTTTCCATTCATGAGATGCTTTAAATGCTTTGTTCTTACCTATATTGTGCTACCAATAAACATTTTTTAGAGTAAAAACATACAATTTTATTATTATTTTAAAAACACTTGGTTCCTATGCCCCACCCTGTGTTAGTACGGGAGCCAAAGGTAGACTTTAATATACTAAGTGACTTATAAATCCGAACACCCAGTTTAAATGGTTTTCTTTTAATATAAGTTGGTGAATGTATTTATCTTACTGTAAATAACAAGTGAAAAAATTTGCAGCCTTATCAGTTGGACATTCCGGTTTTTATACTGCTTTTTTTTAATTCACTTACGCTCTAAAAATGAATATTTTAGCCGCATTAAAGAATCAATGTTGGCGGATTTTGGTTCTTGACATCCTTTACGATCGGTTACGATGCCTAGAGTACGGAGATCTGTAAGAATTCGTCAGTTTGATAGGGGCCGTATAGTGGGACTTCGGGAAGCTGGACTTTCTTTTCGGACAATTGCAGTTAGAGTGCAAAGAAGTGTAGACACTGTGTGGTTAGGTGTTGTCAGGCATGGCTTCGAGAAGGTCGTACGCAAAGAGCAAGGGGCACTGGACGCCGCCGTAGAACAACAGACCGTGAAGATTGCCGCCTAAGATTATTGGCCTTAAGGGACCGTTTCTCCACTACCAGGTCCATTGCAAATGAATGGTTTGCAGAACACGGAAGACCTATTGGCATGCGAAGTGTTTACCGACGAATGAGAAGTTTTGGCTTGTTTTCATACCGGCCACACTGGGTCCTCCCTTTAACTCGAGAACACCGACGTAATCACCTTGAGTGGTGCAGACAACGGTCACTCTGGGATCAGGAATGGAACAGTATTGTCTTTAGTGACGAGTCTCGGGTTTTGTTTAGGCATGCACGATGGTCGTGCCAGTGTTAGAAGGCGACGTGGTGAAAGGAGGAATCCACAGTTTTTTGTTGAAAGACATGTTCATCACACTGTTGGAGTTATGGTTTAGGGTGCTATAGCTTATGGTTCCAGGTCACCTTTAATCTTCATCAGAGGTAAAATGAACGCGCAGCGTTATATCCACGAAGTTCTAGAACCCCATCTTTTACCCTATCTTGACACCCTGGCAGATCCAACTTTCCAACAAGATAATGCCCGACCACATGTTGCAAGAGTCACAATAGACTTCTTTCAACATAATGATGTCACACTGTTACCATGGCCACCAAGATCTCCCGACTTATCCTCAATTGAGCACGTGTGGGATATCATGGGTAGGAGATTGCTCAATTTGCAACGTCCTCCTCAGACTCTAGAAGCACTTCGAGAGGAGTTGGTGGTTGCCTGGAATGAGATACCACAGGAGGACATTGACCACCTGATCAGAAACATGCCCAGGCGCGTTGGAGAATGCGTAGCACATCAGGGTGCATCCACACATTATTAAAGGTCAAAGGACTTTAAAGCAGTGCAATCATTTTGAAATTTTTATCATTTACTTATTATGCTTCATTAAGTACTTATACAAAATTTTATTAAAATAAAACCATTTAAACTGGGTGTTCGGATTTATATGTCACTTAGTATATTTATGTTATCTGTTTCTTCACAATTTCAATTAAGGTACATGAAATAGTTCATAATAATGTTAATATTTGTTTAGAAACTTTTTTCCGCTACTGTATCGCTTGCAGACAACTTCAGTTTCACCTATAAAATCAGTTTCTCCAGTGTGAATTGACTACATCACGTTTAATACTGTATGAAAATGTAAAAGCGAAAAATAGCGAGTCTGGAAATGTCTCGACAAAATTTCTATGGTAAAAAAATGAGGACGCAGTTCATTTCCGAAACTTCAATCTGTATCGGCAAATTATACCGATACTGTCGATACATACAATCTCATAAGTAACTTATTTCATCTCAATATCGATACCTTATCAAACTCATCAATCAGACATACACCCTGGTCAGCCAATACCAAAGCGCCAGCTTCCAGTGTCCATTCTCTGGTAGTAGGGTTCCTTCTGACATAAGCTGTTAAACCGACAGCACTGGCACCTTGACCAGTAGTAAAAACAGCTCTTGGGGCTATTTTTTCTACAAACTTCAAAAATTGGGACTTTGCTGTACCTGGATCTCCGCAGATTAAGACATTTATATCGCCTCGTATTTTGTGCTTATCTCCTAAAAATAAGAAAATTTTGCTGTCTTTATCGCACTTTGTCTGCTCTAAATGTTGAAATGTTATGTGCAACGAATGCAGTACCTAGACCCTACTGGATCCCTCAACCACTTAGAGGCAATATCTTCTAATCCCAATACAGAGAAACTCAATGATACTTCCAGTAGCTCAAAACACAATTTATCAAAAAGGATAGATACTTAAAAAACAATATCAGTATTTTGACAGCAAAAGGTAGGTCAAAAAATAAAAAGTTCTTGGAACAAATTTCTCAAGAGGAGCAACTCATGTAAAATTCAATACCATATATTTCTAATTAATCAGTAGCATAAAAAATAATTTTCTTTTTCCTTCTGTCATTCTGTATGGGTCCAAATATCTCACTTTTGATGCCACTGGCGTGGTCCTCGGCAAAATTTTTGAAATTATCTAGTCAATGATAGTACTAAGATATATTTTTTTTTCAATTTCAAATCATAACATGAACATGCTGCATCTCGATAAGCAGGCTGTTTGAGACTCCTGTTTATTTGAATTTTTTTACTTTAAGCCCTAGGAATATTTCCACTGTTTTTTGAATCGCCCTGTATAACTTCAACATCCTGTATACCAATAAGAGGGCTTTTTAAGACTCCTGTTCATTTATGAACTATTCTGCTTTATGCCCTAGAAATACTTCACTGTTTTTTGAATCGTCCTGTATAACTTACCAGGATTCTTTGCTTGTCCACCAAACAAAGCTAATGCCAACGCTCTTTTGATGTAATCATGGCCGAATATAGATGGTGCTATACTTGCTATAATTCTATCTGCTATTCTGTGATCTTTGCTCATCTTGATTATTGAATTAATATTATCGTCTGTCAAAGATTGTACTATCTGCTTGCAGTCCTTCACCACCAAGTGATTGACACAAATCACTGTTGCAAACACCTATAAAACATTTACATTAATTAACTAATATGTAAAACTGACTGGTTTGTATCTTGAACATTTGTGAAATTAAATAAAATACGTCCATTTTTTCATATTAATCTTTTATTGAAACTTAGAAATTATGGATGAAAAATAATATCAGACAAATGTCCGCTCTAGAAACCGCGCAAACCTGAGCCCCCTTGATTACTTTTCCATCACTTTTTGACAGGTTTCAGGAGGAATATTTCAATCGCTTCTGTAATATTGTTCTTCAGCTGCTCTACAGTATTTGGTTTGATGAATAAACCATATTTTACGAAAATCCCCATAAAAAAGTCAGAAGCCGTCACATCCGGTGACCTTGGTGGCCAGTTGACATCACCAAATCGAGAAATTAGACGTCCCGGAAATATTGTCTGGAACCACATGTTTTGCAGGTTAAATTTTTGGATTTGAGGAGCCAAACAGTTTGCACCATATCATGTGTGACAGTAAGAGAATTATCTGCAGCATCTTAAAAGAAATAAGGTCCAATGACACCTCCATACCAAACACCACACCAAACTGTGACTCAACGAGGATGTAGTCGTCGTTGATGGATGACACGAATGCTTTCTAATGCCCAAATACAATTCTGATCATTAACAAATCCTTTCATATCGAAATGGGCTTCATCGCTCATTACCAGTGGTCGGTAAAAATCGTTTACTTTTGGTATTAAGCTGCAATATTGCTTATGTATTGTCGGCGACTTTCATGGTCACTAGGCTGTAGTTCTTGGGTTAACTGAATTTTGTAAGGCCGCAAATGCAAGTTTTTTTAAAATAGTGCATAATGACGTGCGACGAATACCCAGTCTTGTCGTAGCTTCCGAACCATTGCAACAATCGACTCATTATTCAAGTAAAACGTTTTAGCATTAAGGACGCATTGTGAGATCTTGTAGCGCTCCATGATGAATTGGACACATGTGCTTTAAACAACTACTATGGTGCCGCCATCTTTTAAAATGCGTGTATCAAAAAATGGCGCGCAATTTAAATAAGTCAGTTATATATTGGCTACCCTGTATATATTTAATGCTCAGCGATTCTAAATGAAGTCTTTCCCAAATCAATCATTAACAGAACACATAACCACAGTGTTCCCAGCGGCAGAGCCCTCAAAATAAATAAGGAAAATGAGTATTTTGGAAAGAAAAACTGGCAAGAAATGGTAGCTCAGTCCAAACATCCCAAAACATGAGAAAAACGAGTAATTCACAAAAAATTAGTAAAACTGAGCAGTCAGGAGACTAATGAGTAAAGATGGGCCAGCCAAGAAGCTGAGTAAAAATGAGTATTCGAAAAAAATCTTACCGGAAATCCGTTATCAGTGTTAAGAGATCCATCATAGCTGTTGGTGTAAATGCCTGTTATATCTACTTCATCACCAGGCTTACAGCGATCACAAAGATCCGCCAATAAGATGCAATCTTTTGACCTAGGTACCCTACCTGCAGGGATACGACCTGGACATTCTTGTAGAGTTATTTTTTGGTAGTTTCTGTAAAGCGTTTGCTCCATGTTGATCTGTAACAGAAACATTTCTGGTTTTAGCATAATAAACAGTTTAGTAAAACAGTCAGATGAATAAAATTCTAATTTTAATTTACAAAGGATAACTATTGCAAGATCAATTCATCTTTTCATTCATACTTGGGAAAAGCTAGATGTCAAGTTGGAGAGAAGGATGGTATGAAAAATATTCATCGGATTTTTAATATATAAAGTTGCTCCAATTTTTTTTTTAGTTACATTGTATGTAAGGAAGATAAAAGTTACAATATGTCGAATAACTAAATCTTACCATGAAGGGACCTCTACTTTGACACTCAGGACAGACTCCTGGCTGCACTTCAGAATCTTGGGTTTGAACAAAAGGACCCAAAACGAATCCACACTTATTACAATCAAATTTTATAACAGAAAGCTGTGGTAGAACACCGGTAGTGGCTGTCACCACACCAATGGTCCTCACTAGTTGATTCACATGAAGTTTTCTGGAAAAATAGATGACTATGTAATTTTGATTCCATGTTTCTTCCCAATCGAATCTTACCTGAAGGTCCTCAACTCCTCAATCAAAGGCAAATCGGCGATTCTTACATGTATGTCAGTGGTTACCCTGTCATAACTGGGGTACATTGACAGAACAATATCTTAGCAACCTCATCGAATATTTCTAACATCTGGAAAGGTGCTTCTGGCAAGAAATATGCTAAAACGTGCTCCTTGTTGGCCAAATTTGGAAACTCTACCGTGAAACTAGACTGAAAACGAAAATATGATTAATTCAGCTAGAATGAAATAATGATATAGCATTTTTTTCGACATTGTCAAGATTGAACAAGTTTTCAATCTAAATAGGTTGAGTAGGTCTGACAAAATATGTACTTCACCCATCAAAATATTCTCACCTGATTATTTTCACACATTCGCCTGATTTTTTCTTTGTAGACATACTGGCCCTTACTATTCACATATGTTCTCAAGAAATTCTGAAAAAAAAAACAATTATGGTTTGAAAAACATCCTAGTGATAATATCAAATATGTAGTGATGATGATTTTTACCTTGAATCTGTTAGCAATTTCAGTTCTTGGTCCCATCATCACCACCCACTCTTTGATTGTGTAACCCTTGGTATCTTCCAAGTTTTCAATGGATTCAATCATTTCCTCATCGTCAGCTTCTTCACCAGCTGCTGCTTTTTCAGCTCTTTTTCTTTTCAGTCTTGGATCCTATGAAGCAGTTATGAGTGAGAATGTATCAGAATGCCCCAACAAGAATTTTACCTCATCATCATCCCGCTCATAGAAGATTTCTCTATCATCCCTACGCAAAATGCCCATTTCCCTATCCCTTCGACGCATTTCTTCTTCTGCAGCCAATCTCTCGCCCACAGAAAGTTGTTCATATTCATCGTCATCCACAATGCGTTCATCGTAACGATCCAGATGAGGCATAGGACGATAATCACTATTCAACAAAAAAAAAAAGATTTTTTTTATTGTGACATCACACTTGAAATGGTTATGTGAGTCAAAGAGGTATATCTGATCAAGTGACGATACTTTCTAGGGATGCACCGACTACTCTGGTTTGTACCTTATACTCTGTCTATTTTACCGAATAACCGGTTGCGCCGAGTACTCAATTATAGTTGTAGTCACCGTTCTTGGCGGTTACGTCATCAACGCCATATGAAATAAGTAGACAGATCGAGTTTCCGTACCATGGGCGGAACACTGCGCAGACTAAACGTCAGCGCATCTGCTACTCTGTCTGGTAGGCATGAAGTGGGTAAAGGGGCCTACAGACACACGAACATGTATTAAGACATGAACGCACGGCGATGTTTGCGCAGTGATACCCGTCGATCTACTTTTAGCTCCACACATAGAGACTTGTGTGTCAGTTTTCTCCACGTCGATGTTGTAGTTTGTCGCCCTGTCTAGCGATGATGAGTTAAACTTACTAACAGTGGCGTGCGTTTGTATTGTGAAAAAAAGAAAACATCAATTGAAAAAGAGACGTCAGCCACGAAGAAAATGGGTTAAAGATTGGCTTTTGAAGCGGGATCAATATTCTCACATCAATTTACTTGAAGAGCTACGATTAGAACCTGATGATTGGCGAAACTACCTCCGGATGGATGAAGATAGTTATATAAAACTCCTAGAGATGGTTTCGCCACTTATTGAAAAACAGAACACACCGATGAGACCCGCTATATCGGTACATGAAAGACTGTCGGCCACATTGAGGTATTTGGCCACTGGGAGGAATTATGAAGATTTAAAATTTTCTACCCTGATTTCTCCACAGTCATTGTGCAACATAATTCCAGAGACATGCAGCGCTATTTATGAAGTACTGAAGAAAGACTATATGAAGGTGGGTACAGAGTATATTACTTAGTAGTAAAATAAACAAAATAAACACAAACACAAACTCTCAAGTATTCTATTTTTATACATACAACGCTAATCTAATGGAACTCTTATATGTAAATATAAACTGGACCTTAAATGTTAGCTTCACTTAGAGGATTATACGATCCAAAATAAGTTGAAACTGTGGAGCTACCCTCGTTGATTTGTTGAGGATGGCTTTGATGGCACTGGGGCTTAAGTGGCATAGCTGGTAGCAAATAAGTTTGAGCTTGATTTTGTGTGCCTGATATATTTATAGGTTGAGTTGAATTGTAGTTATATTGATTAGGGTAGCAAGCATCAACAACGCTATTACTGGAAAAATTGTTTTGATTCTGTTCATTGTCTCCTGACGAAACAATCCTAGTATTTCTGGACACGTTACCCATTTCAGCCTCAAACAGCAGATCATTTATGAGTTTTCTCAGTATATAATCTGGTTTCTTTTGGGAGTCCTTTCAATTTTGCTGCGACATTTTCCCCAAAAATGGCGAATTGATCGTCATTCTTGGAACGTAATCTTTCTCCTACCGCCGCCAACACGTTGTCTGCTTCTTGGTTATCAGAGTTTGTCTTGCGTTTATTTTTTTCCCCGATTTCCAGCTGCAGGCAGCGGTACAATGTTTTCTGGATATTGGTGGACTTGGTACTGAGCTCAGCTCACTCTCTTGACTTTCATTTACATCATATCTAGTTTTATGCAAAAAAATATATATTTTTGATTTTTTCAAAGCCCAACGACCGAGAATGAATGGAGAAACATTGCAGACGACTTCGAAAAGAGATGCAACTGTCCGAACTGCCTGGGGGCGGTAGATGGAAAACATGTCAATATAAAACCGCCCACCGGAAGTGGTTCATATTTTTATAACTATAAAGGAGCATACAGCCTAGTGCTCTTGGCAGTGGTCAACGCAAATTACGAGTTCATTATGTGTGATTTCGGGATCAACAGCCGCATATCTGATGGAGGAGTTATTGAGTACAACCAGTTTTACCGGAAGCTTAAAGATAGGAAACTCTCCATACCACCTCCAACAAGAACAATGAACAGTAAAGAAGCATTGCCATTTGTTTTTATAGGTGATGAAGCGTTTGCACTCCGCTGTGATTTCTTGAAACCATTTAGCCAGAGAGACTGGGATCATGATAAGAAAATTTTCAATTATCGTCTCTCAAGGGCAAGGATGTAGAGTAGAGAATGCTTTCGGTATACTCTCTGCTCGATTTAGAATATTCCACACAGCTATATCTATTAACTTAAAAGCAATTGACAAAGTAGTGATGGCATGTTGTGTTCTGCATAATTTTCTGAGAAGAAGAACTGCCACTGTGTATGCACCTGATAACAACTTATACAGGGAGAACCATGAAGATGGCACTGTTGAATTAGGCTTGCAACCAAATCAGATGACTAGTTTGCAACCGGGTTACAATAGAAGAGCAAACAAGGATGCACAAGAAGTTAGACAGTTATTTCTGAACTACTTTAATAATGAGGGATCCGTAGCTTGGCAGGAAAGAATGATTTGCTAATTTATGTATTATACCTTCTAAGTACTTAAGTTGAAGTAAAGCGAATCAAAATATCAAGACGATTTTTTATTACCCTCTATATTAATATGTGTACTACTTCATTATTTCTTACATGAAATCAAAAAATGGCATCAAGTAGGTTGACTCCGCAATTCCCACGCATTGATTTTATCGGTTCAAGCATATCCATGTTTTTTATATATATGTGTTATATATTATATACCATCCATAAAATATAATACCTCATTTTCGAAATTATTCGCGATTTGGTTAGGTGGAAGAGCGCGGATTGACAGCTAATGGTTGTCAATCAAGCGAACCTTGCCGTTTGCTCACTGCATCAGATTTATGTACTTTTTCTTTTTCTGTACTTACATGAGCAATAAAAGCAATTTATTATTATTATTATTATTACAATACTTCCTCTTTTCCTCTCCAGTTGGCGTGGGAAGTAAAAGTCAAATAAATAAATCAGGCCTTACCTCCAGTTCTAGAGCGTCTTCATTTTCCATTTCTGAATGGCAACTGTCCATTTCACTGTCACATCTTCAATATTACTAATGGATTGTCTAGGGATATCCTGATCCTTTATAAATAAAAGTAGATCATAATACCATAAATGTGGTATATAAACATCATCTGCTGCAGCACCCGATCTTCTCGACTCTTTAATTTTTCTTAGTTCTCTCCGAAAACTAGCTCGGAGGCTATTAATTTTAGTTTTAACCATTTCTTTGTTGTCATTTTTCTCAACTTCTTGGAGCTTCAGCACCAACACTTTATATGCTTCGTTTTTTTTATTGCGATCCATATAGTCTTTTGATTTTACTCGCCACAAACATGGATAGGATTTGTATAGTTCTATGAACTCTGTTATAAACTCTTTGGAAAACTTCTCAAATCTGCCATATTGACAAATTCAAAACTAAATGAACTTATGTTGACCCCCCTGCTCCTAACAACAGAATACACGAATGCAGTCGCGCCACTGAATTAAGTCTGTGAAAATTAGTACGTTTTGTCTACACACAGGCATACATACACGCGCGTACAAGTCTGTGCAGGCATAAATTCAAGCGAAAACAGAAAGCATGTGCGTCGGTCTTTTAACGAGAGATTTGTCTACACACTGGCGAACATCAACGCGCAAACGTCGACGTGCGTTCTTGTCTTAATACATGTTCGTGTGTCTGTAGGCCCCTTAACAGGGGACCACTGTTTTGATTCCCTTCCTGGAAATCCTCTAATGAATTTAGCGCTTGCTGTCGGCCTTCTTCATTGAGTGTATTTCCGGTCATTGTGCAATTTTATATGGAATATCAATCTTCAGGACAACTCGAATTGCACGCCGATGTCAAGCAAGTCGTTATTCTGACAAATATGTTTAGAGGGCACTCATATGTAAAGACAAAGTTTTCGAGATGGAACAAAAAACGTGTCTTTAAGCTTACAGAACAAACATCCACACAAAGGGATTGGTTGCATGTGTATGTATGAGGGAGATGGAGATATATAAAGGGATACTGGTAGTCTTATTTTGACCTGCCAAGAATGGTGACTATAACTACACTAAATTAAAAGTAGCACTGAAACTGCATTGTACAGTTTTGTATAACATAATGTGTCTGTACTTGATAAAAAAAAATATGTGGTTAATTTATAGATTTCTCTTGTGTGTCAAATTATGTGGACCGTGAGCTACTACTTCTCAAACTGCACAGGTATGGAATATGTGGCTTGCCATTACAAATTTTTTGCTCATATATTGTACAAAGAAAACAACGTCTATGAGTCAATGATACCAAAAGTGAAACATTGGTGTAAGACGGGGCTCAATTCTAGGACCTTTTTGGTTCCTGTTGTGTGCTAACGATTTGTCTGGTTTTATATATGAGGGTGATCCAGAATATAGGCATTGTTAAATTCGCCTTAAAGATGAACAGTATTTTTAATAATACTAACAAAGCTATTCATCTAATTCAATTAACATGGTGGAGATGATTGTGAAGGAGTTATGGCTTGAAATTCTTAACAAAGCAGTGCAGTAAATGCATTTTAATAACTTTATACTATGCCACCATCAACTACCATTATTGGGGAAGTAGTTCATTAGCTGAAAGTGTGCTCCTGGTGAAAAAATATGGCATTAGAATGACTGATAACCTTAGTTAGTGCCAATCCTGTACAGAATCTTTTAGAACACTAAAGATGATGACTGTTATAAGAATTTACATTTATGACTTGGCTGTGTTTGTTTTCAAAAATAAGTGTGAATTTGAAGTCATAAAACACCATCATGAATATCCAACTAGGTCTAAGATATATTTAATTCACCTGAGACATTGAACTATGAGATACCAAAAACATGTATATTATATGATGTAAGATTTTTAATAAGCTCAATGATGACATTAGGGATGAGTCAAATATAGCTGTTTTCAAAAGAAAACTAAAACATGTTTTGTTAGACAAAGGTTTCTACAGCTTGGAGGAATTTTTTGATTGAATTTATGCATTTTTAATCTATCACCACTGTTTTTCATGACCTTTTCATTTCTGATCTATTCAATAATGAAGTAAATTATTATTATTATTCAGCCAAGTAATTAATCATTCTGGATGCAAGACACAGAACTCATTTGAACCAAAAAAGAATACCAAAAGTCAACGACCTTTTTCCACAGCTTTTGGATGTTCCCCAAGAAATTAGCGACCAACCAAAAATTGTCAATATACAACAGATTTTTCAGAAGCAGTTGCTTTCTTATAAATGCCAAAAAAATAATACAATTCACATCTGTAACTCTGTTTTCCATTAATGTCCTTCAGGGGAATGTAATTCCATAAGGGAGCTCCATATGATTTTTTTTATATGAACTTGTGGCATTACTTTTTGTGCTCTATGTGAACTTGGCAAACTGATCTGTTATTCTGTGACACCCTATAGTTTTATGATAAACAAATACACATAAGTCACATTGGAGTTCTGGCTACGTCCTGAGGGACACATTTGTACAGTATAGTTATGGTATGGATGAAACAAAATCAATTACTTTTCCATATTATCTCCAAATAATTCTTCTCCATCTTCTTCAATATCTCCATCATCAATGTCGCCTAAGAGGGCCCCTTCATCCTCAAATGCAGGCAAATCGGGCTCAGGTGATGACATGTTCGATCTTGGAGTTGGCATTGGTGAATCTTCATCCTATTTCAAAAAAAATTATAATTATGCGTTCTTCAAATATACATATGATATATTGCATTTTTATATATCCATTATATGAGAACAACTATAAAAATACAGTTTATTACTCTTGAAAAGTGCTGTTTGGAACTACTTACCCTTCGCGACATATTGATGAACGGGTTTGGGTAAAACTGTTACCAACAAAATAAATTCGATTAATAGGTCTAAGGTCTAAGAATACAGGTAAATGCAACAACACTGTTAACACATTTAACACAAATTAAAACAAATTTATTAAAACATGAACACAGAACACAGGGATAAAATTGGCGGGAAATCAAGTTGACATCAGTTGACAAATTAACATGTCACAAGACCAAACCACACAACCATAGATAAGAGGTTTGACCCAGATCACCACCTTGTATCGTGATTCGTAAAACGTGTGTGAAACATCCAAGCTCATGACGTCAAGACTAACATGAAGTGGTTTGAACAGCATCGTAACGGGTGGCGAGACTTGGATCTATCATTGCGATGTGCCGACCAAGGCTTAAAACAAAGTTTGGGTCTTTGATGATAAGCACACACCCGCAGCTGTCAGAAAATCCCGATTTGTTAAGAAAAAAATGATAGCTGTATTTTTCAAATCGAGCGGAATTGTGGATTGTGGACACACAGAAGACAGTCACAGCTAAGTGGTACACGGAACAGTGCCTGCCTAGAGTCATAGAGTAAATTACTTTGAACGAAGTCAATAAATAAAGCTGTATTGCAAAACTTTCATAGTACTCTTTGTAAGGCTATGATCATGTTTACCGTATGTAGTCAAACGCGTGAGCCAAACGTATGATAGCACATGTTGTATACAGGCAGCATTCACGACAAAACCAACAAAACTGTAGTGGCTATCTAAATCATTCGCTAACCGTGTCGAACTTCGTACATTCCAACTGGCCGATACGACCACTCCTTTGTCCCTGCGGTATCGAAATTGTGGAGCAGCCTACACGAGGAGTTTTTTCCAGTCGATTAACCTTAGACAGTTCAAAAATTGGATTAACAAAGTTTCTTTAAGCTCCTCATAGGAGTCGCGGTGCTCTAGCATTTAAAGGCTTGTGCCTGCGCAGCTGCTTCGATGTAAAAAATAAAAGCATGTTAAATAACCAACTTAGGAATCTACTAACAGATTTATCAGTAAATAGTGACTTGATAGACCACGGTTAATACTGGTGTGTGTAGCATGTGAATGGCTCTTTGTAATAGGGTATATGCATGTGAGTCAAATATCGCTTTTGATATTGATACAGAATACCACCTTAAGCGTCATTTTAGATTTGTCTCTATAAACATACGAGTAGTAATGAGTAAAAAATGGAAAAACTACCCGAGAAATTTAAAATCTTAAAGCGCAACGCTCCTGACGTGACCACCACCATTTGCGATGATCAGCCTATCCCTTCTTGATTGGTCGATCCCATGTCCCATGTAAACTAGTAGGCGTTTCTTCTCACTGTTATTAATTATCAACCTTTGCTGCAACCCTGCCCTCTTTTTTAACTCGCATCATTTGATGCTACTCCCCACCCTTCCGCTGTTCAATTTCTAAACCGAGAGGAGCACAGCCAAAGATGCCCCCAATTTAATCACTGGCAAGTTTTCGCTTTATGTCTACTGAAATCTACCGAAAAAATCACACAAATCTACCGAAAACAGATGTACTATACCTGGCAACACTGTAGAGAGTCTTGGTGATCTTGACATATAAAATCTCGAAAGTCAAAACATAACCTAAGTTTTTCGGAAAGATTTTTGTTTTTTTAATCATTTTCGTATAATGGACAATAATAGCTCATCAGGAAAAGAAAAATATGTGTACTTGGACTTTAATGGAAAAATTGACGGCGATGTCCTTAAAAAACAATTCTTCTTTTGTATGGCAAATTTAGATAAAACGAATCCTTTGGTTCAAGTGAACGATTTTCTTTTCAAAGGTAATCTACAAACTCTTGAACAAAAAGAGTTGATGTTATTGGAGTTCTTATGTTATTAAAATATCCAACTATGATGTATCTAGAGATATAACACTGACATTGTCCCCCATATGAAATGTCTGAGAATATTACAACTATAGCCATCCCCATGGACAGCGTCTTTTAGAGCTTTATTGTTAATACAGTAAAGATTTTATTTATTTATTCATTCAACTTACGGGCGAACCCATTATACATGTGTATTATAAATAGTAAAATGCACCGCAAACGTCGCGTAAGTGGCGCTACATATGTGGTAACAGTAACATGTATAGTATATAAGGCAATCGACTGAGATTAAAATAATCATCTGTGAAATTTAATACAGATGTTCAAATGAGGAAATGCAATAATCTAGTAATCATAAATTCAAATATTACAAAATCAAAAGACTACTCAAATGAAAACATAGACTTTGATAAATTTCTAACAATATAATTACTCGAATTATACAAATCAATCCAACTACTGTGTTCATTACATAGTTTAGATAATCTAAAAACAGGAGAATGATTTATCAGATCTGATTTAGGTGGCATAACATGAAACTAAACATTATTACGTCTTAACATTCTTGGTGGTACATAAAATCTGAATCTTGACAATAAACTGAAATTATCAATAATGTTATTAAATAAATTATAAGCAAATAAAACATCATTCCTGTTCCTAGCACTTTCAAGCATTGGAATCATAATTTTGTTTGAAATATTTGTGTAGTTGTGATCGGTAAAATTCATTGGTATACCGGTTCTGTATGCAACATATCTTAAAAAGACATGATTGGCTCTTTCAAGAGAATCTATTTGATATTTAAGATAAGGATTCCAAACTACACAACCAATTGGATATACAAAAGAATAGTACAGAGTTCTGAAGATGCTAATACTTTTAAAATCTCTTTAAAAAATTTTTTTTTTTTATTTCTGAATTTCTAATGTGTTCAATATGATAATTAAACGATAATTTAGAATCAAAAATGATACCAAGATCTTTACTAACCCAACATTGTCAAAGTTATAATTAACATCTTGTAAGTTACATTTACCAAAAGTAATAAAATAACACTTGTTGATGTTAAAAGGTATGCCGTTTAATGTACTCCAAATAAGTAACGAATTTATATCAATTTGCACTAAGTATCTATCATAAATAGATCTAATTACTTTATATCACCTGCAAACAACAAAAATTTACAATGATGTATGCAAGATTTGATATCATTTATGAAAACAAGAAATAGCAATGGGCCTGACTGAGAACCTTGACCAACTCCTGATGTTACATCAATGACATATGATATATGAATATCAATTTTGACATACTGTTTTCTATCAGTCAAATAAGACTAACCATGGATACTGTAAGCTTCAATCTTATTTAGAAGCAAAGAAACGTTAACTACATCAAAGGCACTAGAAAAGTCTGTAAAAATAGCATCAGTCGCTAATCGATTGCTCATTGCATCAACTAAATTTCTGTATATAAACTTAAATTAGTAATAGTTGATTTATTCTTCATGAAGTCATGTTGATTTGTAATAATAAACCTTGATAAATAACAGGAAAGGTTTTCATGTACCAACTGATCAAAAATTTTTGCTAAAACATTAGGCTTACAAATTGGTCTATAATTGTTGACATCAGATGTATCACCTTTTTTGTATAATGGTTTGATGAAGGAGGTTTTCCAACAGCAAGGAAAAACACCAGATTGCAATGACAAATTGTAAATTTCAGTTAATTTTGGTAATAGGAATTGCGAGCAATTAGAAATCATTAATGGATGAATATTGTCAGTACTAGGTACTGATTTAACATTTAATTTATCAACAGATTTAGCAACATCATCAATCGAGAATCTAACTGACCTCAAGCAATCATAAATATTACAATCAATTTCAGTTGTTGTCAAGTTACTATTGGAATAAACTCCACCAAATTTCTGAGCAAATAAGTTAGTAATATCTTTACCATTATCAGCAGTTTGACTACCATAATGCATAACTGATGGATAGCCTTTTGATTTACATAAAGAATTAACATAATTAAAAAAAATTTGACTACCATCAGCTAATGGTATGCTCTTTAGAAAACAACATGTAATAGTAATCGGAATGATACAATTTATATAATTTATGATACTTTTTCTTAGCTTTAACAGCATTAACTAAATCTTTCGAGAACCATGAAGGAAAATTACTCAACTTAATTAAGATCTTTGGTACAAACTTATTAATCAAAGTATTAATACTAAATTCTAAAGCTTTAACTAGTAGATTAACATCATCACAGTTTTTATTAAATAAAGTCCAATCCAGGCGGTGTAATTCACTTAGAATTGCTGCATAGTCTGCATTTTTGAAATCATAAATATAATTGCAAATTTTCAGCGGATCAATTTTAGGACAGATATTTATTTTAAAAGGTAAGTGATAACTATCACAATCAAAAATAGCTTCATCAGCGATTTCATAAGAAACATCACTGCTGTTGGAAAAGATCAGGTCAAGAATATTCCCGGATGAGTTAATGTAAGTGTTATACTGAGTTAAACTCAAAAGTTTACATAAATCAGAAAGTAAAAAAGCACCAAGTCTGACATCTTTACTCAGATGATGACCAACAACAGCAGAAAAATAATCATTTTTAAACCATCTGTAACCCGGTAAATTAAAATCACCCAATAATAAGAGATCATATGAATTGAAGTCCTTAATGTAATTTAGCAATGAATTTTGAAGATTATCAACAAATTCTCTGTAGTAATCAGAGGTTGAAAGGGGTGGTATATAGACCACACTAATGAAAAATGACTTTGCATGAGTTTTTATATGCACAATAACTTGTTCATAAGAGTTATTAACTAAAATAACATTTAAACACTTAATAAATTTTTTGACTGCAATCAAAACACCACCACCAGATTTCTTCACACTTGTAAATAAAGACCTGTCACATCTGTACACAGTAAAATCTTGGAGTTGTAATTCAGCAGTAGTAATGTCTTCATCAAGCCAAGTTTCAGTCAAAACTATAATGTCATATTCATTAATAAGACAATCTGGAGTAAAACTCATCAAGCCTTCCTCTGACACTACGAATATTTCGGTAAAAAATTATCAAATTATGGTAACTATCATATAGTCTTTCAGTATCTTCATCATTTTCATTTAATTGATTATCCGCAACAATAGATTTTACAATCCTTGGTTTACCTCTGATATGTTTAATTTTTAAATCCTTTTCTCCCTTGTCAGATCTATGCTTCACTTCATTTTTAAGTTTTTGCATGTGAGCTTGTTGTTTTTTTGTAAGATCACTACTGACAAAAACATTATTTTTAAAAATTTCACTACTATGATGATAAATCCAGTGTACATTATCAGAGGATTTCATAACAACTTTGACTATATATATATATATACATATATATATAATAATGATAATCTATAGTGCGTATATTATCTACAAATCAACGTGTTATAGGTACATATGATCATGCAATAGGAACTAATCTGTTCTTTGATACTGAAGATAACACCGAGGTAGGTGATGCATTCCATAAAGTTGCTTCTATCAAAGCTAAATTGATCGTGAAACAAACCGAAGTATTAAACTTGAAGCCAGTGAAAGTTTCCCCAAGGAAAATAGAGCTTGAACATGATCTTAGAAGTCTAACTTACAACTTTGAATGGGACTACAAAACATTACTAGACAAACTTGAGAATGGTACTTTAAGGTAAGAATGTCTAAAATCATATTTCTTGGTTTGATGATGTGTTTTAAACAACAGGCTCATAGTACTGCATATTGATTTTATGCTTGCTTGAATGGCATGAACTATTGAATGCATATATAGTCTTTTTCACAAGTATCCATTATGTTAGAGGGATAGCTAATATTCAAAATACCTTATCAACAGGTAACACAATTCTGATAGATCTGTTTGTGCTTGATTCTGCAGACAGTCATATTTTGTATGCTACAGGTTCATACTTCCAACACTTTTATTTAGAAAAGCACATTTGTATACCAGAAAAAATGGTACAAGCACAATTGCTGCTCAGGTGTTCATCACAGTAGACATCAAAATGTAATGGATATAGATAGATAATTTTTTATTTATTCATAAGCCGAACCATAGAACATTGTTAAAGAGAAGTTATACTATTCTAAATTAACTCTAGATTCTGTCCTTATCCTCAAAAAACTCATTCAATGAGTAAAATGCCTTAGAAATTAAATAATTAGCAATAACCTTTTTAACTTTGATTTTCTTTAATTTACATACATTTAAATGAAATCTATTGGAAAATTTTTCAACAGTATATGGACCGATTTTTCTGTATAAAATTAAAGTTACACTTAATCTGGAATAAAATCTTTATGCCTAGTCATGTGATTGTTTATTTGATTATTTGTAGTTTTTAAAAACAAACATAAAAGATGTAATATATAAAGAGAAATAACAGAATTTTTTACTGATGAAGATGAAAATTTATTTGCAACTTTCCATTTGGCATGTATATCATTTATTGTACTGGACTTTAGAAAATATCGAGAGTTAATTACCATAAATTTTTATTCTTTGAATGTAGGTTACAAGATATCATAACAACTGAAGTTCCTTTGGAAAAAGAATCCACTGAATTAGAAACAGTCAAGTACAATAAAAACAAATGAGGATGAAAAACTACCAGGAGACATAGATGTTGAGGATGTAGTGAAATCTCTAGAAATTGAACAGCCTAAAGTGACAGAATTGGATGTCACACATGTTCCTGAGCAAACTGATAGAAAGAGGGAGAGAGAGCTACAAAAGGGAAAGAAGGTTAATATTTTGGACGCAGAGTATCAGACCTTGAAGGTTTTAGCTGGAAGACCAACAAGGAGGACAGTACAAGATGAATTAGTTGATAACTGTGACTCCAAGTACAGAGAGGCATATGAGTATCACAATATAGAGAAACAGGTATGGTTTGGTGAATAAATTTGAGTTACCTTATTATTATATTATATATAGTATAATTCATTATGACAACCATTGAAACTTCAAGCTATCCTATATTTTATAGAGAATTCATAATGGGCTTAATTAGATCTGCTATTGGATCTGACAGGTATTTTTTGAAAAATATACGGGCTTTCATCCTCTTTTGATTTTCAGATATGTACATATGTCAAACACATTATTACAATATTGTATGAATATTACTTCTTAGTATAGGATGATAAATAAAAATACATCCAAGTATTTGTCAAATTTACAATATGTACATATGACATTTATTCATAATTTGGAGATTCACATAGAGTAACAAAAACTTAAGGTAGTGCCTTAACTACATATAAAATCAAATTAGCACATCCATTCAATTTAATATGCTTTCAAAATCCATGGGCTGTTAGTAATGTTTCAGTATCTGCAATGTGTTCCTCCTTTATCATTTCTTCTTCATCAAAATCATCTTCGTCCTCAGCATTTTGCTCTTCTTCATTGTTGCTGTGATCCATATCAGTAACAAATGTTCCTTCACTTTCTTTAACATAATAGTCCCCAGCCTTCTTAATAATAGATTCCCACCTATTTGGTAAATCTTGAAATGCTTCCGAAAAGCCACTAATCTTTGGTATCATTTGTAGCACTTTGTCCAACTTATTTTCTGCATCTTCTTTACTATCAAATTGTTTACCTTGAATGAGAATATTTATCACACATTTTGCTAATACAAATATAATTTCAGTAATAATTCTGGTGAATGATGACATACTTAATAATACTTGCCTTTTAGAAGATTTTGTAATCTATGTACAAAAAAGTAATCAAATGGTGCTAAATCAGCCCAAAATGTGGGGTATTCAATAGCTGGTACTGATTCTTCAGCCAAGAATTTCTGTACAGTTAAACAAGTGTGTGTGGGTATATTGGTATGATATAAGATCCATCTATTGTCAGTCTCTGGTCTATCTTGTTTTATCTTATTTATTAGTCTTCTTAGTACTCCTACATACACATTTTTATTATTAATTTCCTCTTCAGAGAGATATTCATGATGTATGATGCCATGTTTATCAAAAAAACATACCAAATAGAACTTTATCCTTATTGTGTTACTGTTTGCAGTATAATAGGAGAACATATAACTATCACCAGTTATTATATTACTGATAATGGAGTCCCTAATGTTGTGTTCTAGCATATCCCTGCAAAACATTAATCTATGTTGTTTTTGGTCATCATCTAGTGCCCTAATGACCCATTTGTGGAACATGTATGTTAAACCAAGATCATCTCTCAATATTCTTGCTATGGTACCTTTGCTAACAGTCATCCTTGACATCATGTTCCTGAGAGTTCTTCTTGGGTTAGCTTGTACAAAACTCTTTACCTTGTCGACCGAGTTATATGTTCTAGCAGTTGATGGTCTTCCTGTTCTCTCATTGTCTATAACGTCTGTTCTTCCTTCTGAAAACCTTTTGATCCAAGTATAAACTGTGGCTTTTCCCATCGATTTCTCCCCGTACATTTCACGCAGCATTTGACGTATTTCTATCGGCTTCTTGCCTAACTTCACCATTAGCTTTATAGCTACTCGTTGTTCGATGTCTTTCATTACTTATTTTATATTAATCTATATTATTAACAAAAATATTTATGACTCCCAATTTGTTTATTTGCATCACACCGGTAACACGGATAAGGATAACACTTTTTGACTTGACAGTTGAGGTTTTATTAGATTGACATTATTGACAGTTTAGTATAGACGGGATGGATAAGTATTTCACGGATTGCCTGATTACAAGGGGAGGTCGTGATATTCCATTGATAGGGGTAATCTGTTACCAGACAATTGGTGTTCAGCTTTTCACGCCAATAGATCTCAAAACGTGACGAAATTGTGAAAAATGGATTACCTTTCTGTCAAATTTGTCTATTTCCCGTCTACTTTTGTCAGTTTAATCGCCAATCACTCCTGCGCAGTCGATCGTGCATGAACATATTTTGATATTCTTACAGATCTTACAACCCTGTGACGCATTCAAGACCGAACCTGTGAAAAACATAGATGAAGAAACATTATCTGATTGCGTGGACATAGGTCGTTGTGTGTTCCACTCCATTTTATCGCCATCTTCAGACTTTCCAAGAAAATTAACCTTAGAGGAACGCAAAAAGGTGCTGAGATTGGATAACTTTGATAACCTGTCCCTATGTGCTAGATATTGCGTCATCAAGCAAGAGGTAGACCTATTGGAGGAGATAATTGACAATATGCCGGATAATGAGTTGGCTTTGAAAGATGAATTTGGTAGAACGCCTAAGGAAACATTGGATGTTTACAGGAAACTGAAACAAGCCTTACAGCGGCGGATTGAAGAAATCAAATACGCAAACCAAAACTGATGGTTAATTCTGTGGATTATAAGAATGAAAGTTGTGATATGTTATAATAAATTTTTTTATACTTTTTAAACCTGTTATATTATATTTTATCATATTATTTTAATTATCATTTTAATGATTTGATATTTGTTGTTGAAAGGCCAATTTTCCAGTACATATTAAGTCACCCTGTATAATGTGTGTTCTACATTTGTGTGGATTAGCCTGTGGTCCAAATTCTCTTGGAAATTTTGACATTGACAATTGACATGCCCATCCTTGACAGCGTTGCCGCCTATTATTATGTTGTTCGTTCAAAGCTTGAATATGCAGCAATTGTTTGGCAACCTTTCAATAATTTCTGGATAGATAAACTTGAAAATATGCAGAGATGATTTCTGAAGTAGCTATATTTCAAATATGCAACAGTGAAGCTTTAAATGAAATGATTCGTAAGACATTCCAATACCACATGTCCACAGAAAACTAATTGATAAATCGAACTAAAAAATGAAAAATAAATGATACCTTGAAAATCCAAAAAACGCTTGAATAACTAACCGAACTAAAAAGTAGAAAACTACTTTTAATTATAAAGAGTTTATATTTCAGTAGTAGATGGTGGAACGATCAATCATAATTAATGACCTCAAAATCAAATTATAAGAAATCTTATTAACAGAATAATGCAATTCAGAGTAAAAAGCGTGGGGTACATTTTACTACATTTTCATAACTCTCCTCTCATAGATAGTTGTCAATAGGATGATTGTAACATTTAATATATCAAGCACCCCACGCTTTTTACTCTGAATTGAATTATTCCGTTAATAACTTAAATTTTATTATAATTTTATTTTGAGATCATTAATTATGATTGATTGTTCGACCATCTACTTACTGTAATATAAACTCTTTGTAATTTACTAAAAATTATTTCTTTTCAGTTCGGTTAACTATAGAAGCATGTTTTTTTTTAGTTTTTTCAAACTATTATTTATTCTTATCTGCACTATGGCTGATATGATGGTAAACATACATAAACAGACAGGATTATAGAATTTTGTTATCCAAGACTTTCGCTTTTCTGTCCGTCAGAATCCCAGAAAATAGTATAAGTGACTGTTGTGGGTAATGGAGAAGTGTCAGGAGATTCCGTCTTAGGTGTTTTCTTACGGCAATGTCGCGCTGTTGTTAGTAATTTATTTCAAAATAAATGAATTAATGAACATCGATTCTGTATATGGCATCAATCTATGAATAACCCTTTTGTTGGCGCCAATATCTAAAGTATAATGATCAACGCTTTTCTGTATTCAACTTAAATTTTTACATAACTTACTAGTGTTGATACAGTGTAGCATTATACAAAACGTGTCACAACATTTTCACCACCCAGGACGACAAATTTAGGGCCTGAATAAGCGAGAATAAACGATTACAGTGTTTAATACCAGGGATTTGGGACAGTTTTATTGATATGTTCATCTAACAGAAGTTTTACGTAATCGAGAAAGATAGGTACTTGAATCATATGATGTGAGGATGTGATATATAAAAATATAACACAGTCCCACAAAAGATGTCGAGATTCGTGATATAAACTATGATACTCCCACGTATTTTTCGACGCTGGCTCCATATCTGGGATCAGAAAAGTTCCTAGATGTCTATTATTCACTGCCGGGCAATAGGAGGAAGTGGTAGGGGAGCGAAAAAATGAGTTTCAGATGCTGGAGCATGGTGTTCCAATGTATTGTTCGACGCTAAATCCGAATGTATGGTCGAAAAGATCCCTACACCCCTGAAGGTAACCCCGGGTCCAAAAACTGCTCCTAGGAGAGGTGACGATTAAGTTTCGGATGCCAGGTGTTTGCTAAGATTGTATCCATGGGACTCTTTTAAGTGGATGAACTTTGAAGGACAAGATTTCACATATAGACGTTATAACGTTACTACCCGCTTATCTGTGTTTTGATACAACTCCAAAGATCTGTTGAGCCTCAACAAATGATCCTCGATAGACTACTAAATATTTGTAGTTTGAGTTTAGCTCTTGTTGAACTTCATTATAAATTTAGCCACTCCTGGAATTACAGTTACTGCGCAATTTCTGATAAAATTAGTGTATTAACAGAAAGTGAATAAAAAGAACGATCCGTATTTCCCACTACATTTGTGCAAAAACGAGAAGCATCTATGTTGAAGATCGGTTTGCGCAGTGTGCATGTCGGCGTCAAACGCTGAAATTCGTCATTCCCTGAAATGCCTAGTCAGTCCCCGTATTGCCAGCAAACACCGTAACAGTTTGATTATTACAACGTTTGAATAAGCATTTCAGTCACTCCATGGAATGACTGAACAGTTTTAGTCAAACACCGTAATACCCACATTAACTTCGTTACTGCATTTGCCTGATTCAGTCATTCATTGTCTTGATTTGCTACACATAGTCTTTTCTGTTCTGCGAAAAAGCAGTGTTTATCCAATAGATATGTGTTTGTTTAAAAAAAAAATTCTTTGTAATTCAAGGTGCCGTAGAAGTCTAACATGCCCTAACAAATAATGTTCAAAATAACATCAAATATAAGATAATTCTGTGTAACTCTTATTCATTTGCCAGTACTCGCAATTCTGCATTTTGTTTTTTAAGGGTACATAGTTTTATATTTATTTCGATAGTTTCAGGATATTTCTTGTTGATTTAATATATTAGTGATTAATGTCCACAATAATGTGATAATCAAGACACCATTTTAATCTATTCTCCTTTCCTTTTCGATTAATTCATGATTGATTATTTTTATTTTAATATTATGTACTGATAAAGTAGTACCTTGTCATATTATGTACTTCATTGGGGCAACACCGTGTTGATTACATCGTTTGACTAAAATAGGCGAATGCAGTAACGAAGCTAATGCGGTTGTTACGGTGTTTGATGGAAATTGTTCAGTCATTACAGGGAATGACTGAAATGCTTAGTCAAACGTTGTAATAATCACTGTTACGATATTTGTCGGCAATACGGTTACCTACTAGGCATTTCAGGGAATTACGGATTTCAGCGTTTGACGCGACATGCATTTTCCGGTAGTCAGGAAAAAGTTACACTCATGATACTAGTTGATCTATTTAGGTATTGCATCTACGACACAACCGCCAAAAACAGTGAAACCTATATAGGTACTCCGCACGGTACTAGACACAAATTGGGACCATTCTGACTACCACCTGTATAATTAGATAAATCCTCTTCATAGGAGATAATTAGAAAGTTCGCCATTCTATTTGCACATTTTCTCTTTCAACGTAACGTCACCTTCATGTCAATTGTTTTGACACTGTCAAATTCTTGTTTATCTATTATTTTTTCAAATGTAGTTTACATTTTTTATTTAAATAGTTTAACTGTTTTTGTGGAATGTTTTGTACACATTTTTTAGTACGTGCCTGCAGTGTATCAGTGAAAGTGCCTTTATTGTTAAGTTATAGATTCGCTATGATTCTGTGATAAAATGCGGCCGCTGTCTATTCTAATAATTCATCTTCAAATCGTATATTGCGGAATTGTTCTTCCTCAAAATGAAACTTCACCGCAGAGCTATTACGACTCATTCAGGGGCGATTCTATTCCACATATCAGACACAGGGAGCTGAAGAAACCTAAGGATACCAATGCAATGTATCTAGATGATTTCAGAGATTATTGTCAAAGACCCGCAAAATGTGAAATGCTGAACTACACTACCTGTATGGGGGCAAAGTTACCTTATCACAGTACAACCTTAGATCTTACAGATCTCAAGTCGCAAGATGCTGTTCAAGAAAAACTGCAGTTGTATCAATATTTGCACTTTATACCTAACTGTTGGGCTGTCATACAGCCATTTCTGTGTGCCTTATACATGCCAAAATGTGAGAAGGGCAAAGTAGATTTACCTTCAAGAGAGATGTGCAGAATTACACTGGAACCATGTAAAATTTTATATAACAGCTCCCTATTTCCTGAGTTTTTAAATTGTGAGGATGAGAGACTCTTTCCTCCAAGGTGCAAAAATGATATCCAAGAGATGAAATTCAATACCACAGGTTATTGCATGGACCTATTAGTTAAAACTGATAAGCCTGATTGGTGGTATCCAGATATCAATGGTTGTGGACTAAAATGCAAAGATTCATTATATACTGAAAATGAACATTACCAAATTCATAAGCTGATTGCTTACTGCACATTGTTATGTGTCCTTCTTAACTTATTTGCTGTATTCACATTTATCATTGATTGGCGAACTGGCAACAAGTATCCAGCATTAGCAATTTTTTATGTAAACCTCTGCTTTTGTATTTCCTATGGAGGATGGCTAGTGCAATTTTTGGGAGCTGATACTAGGGAAGATGTTGTATGTAAAAAAGATGGTACTATACGGAAGTCGGAGCCTAGTGCTACTGAAAATCTGTCATGTGTCATTGTTTTTGTTATGGTTTATTATTTTGCTATAGCAGGAATGGTGTGGTTTGTTATTTTCAGTTATTGTTGGTATATGAGCTCCCTACAAGCTTTGGGTAAGAATTTTATTTTTTTTCGTAGATATATTTATTATATTTACAAGTGTAAAGAAAATGAAACCTTTCATTGGATGGTAGTTTCTCTGTTACTTCTATTTGAAAAAATATACCTCTTTTGTAAGGATTCTAAATCGATGAGGAATCTTCTTATTGTATCTGGTCTGTTTAAATAATCCACATGCGAGGAAATTTAGTACTAATGTGCATATTGCTTATATGCCATTTTATTAATTAATAAATATATTGGAGCTGTAATGTGTAATAGGACAAAATAAATTAGAGCTTATATCGTAAATCTGTTCTACAATAAAAATTTATCAGTGATAATAACCTTTATATAAATTTTACAACTGTTCAGATGAAAGAAGTGAAGTTGCAACTAAAGGATATTGACAATTCTTGGATGGAATATATCTGGAAACTCTAGGTGCATGAATAGTCTTAAATATTTTAAGCATCACTTATCAACAATTGCATTTGTGGCAGCAGTCAGGAAATGGTTTGTTCAAGTTCTCAGTTATATGGCAGCCAGGTAGCACTAGCTCAACTGAACAACTCAAAATATAATATATTTTGGAAGCATTATATTGATATTCTGTCATTTTTTGTTTGTTTGAAAATTGCCCATTGCTCATGGAGATTGTATTTTATTTAATACTAGTGAATATAGAAGTGCTACTACTGGAAATATATGAATAAGACTTCAACTGTAATGTTTCTTTTATAAACTGTTTTTTCAAATGCATCTCATTCATATCAAGTCAAAATGTGTTAAGAGGCTTAATAGATCGATCTTCAGTGGTTTTGAGGTCTGAAATATCAATAATATGCTGAAATTTGGCAAGGTGCTATGAAACTAGGACCATTTTAGAGCAATTTGCTTGTTTTTTTTTATCTCAATACATTATATTTTCTCCAAGATATGACCAAATTTTAGATTTTTGATCGTCACGCGGCATGACGTCATATTCAAATAACTTCTCTTTCACTAAATAATTGTTGTAAAATGCTATTACCGCGAGCGCAGTAATCTGTTACCTTGGAAGCGGGGTGTTTCAGAGAGAAATGAAGATGAACATTTTGCGGACATACCTGTTATATACATTTCGAAAATTTTAAAAACTTCAAGATAGTGTCGTGTGTAAAGTGTAGACATCTTACTCCTTTTTTTAAAATAAAATACTTCCTTCAAAAGACCATACCTCTAAAATGATGCCAAATAGATTGACTCAGTATTTTAGTCTTCTAATTATTTATATGAAATTAATTGCATTTAGTTGGATTTGGGGCCTAAAGAAATTCTGTTTCCTGTTATAAAGTTGCCGATATTTCGGAAAAATTCATTTTATTTGCCAGAGCTCCTTTCTGGCGCTATGAAAACGCTACGCTTTTTGTAGATGGAAATTCGGTTGAGTTAGAATAGAAAATTGTCTGCGTAATTGCATATGATGTATAACTGAAAACTGTTTTGGTATTAATAGATTTCAGATTTATTATGGGTAATTATTCACATGGTTTGAATATCACTTATCAACATTTGATTATAAAGCAGCAATCAGGATAAGTTCTGCTTAGGTCCCCAGCTAACACTTGACAGCCTGATGGTATTTGAACTGATGGACAACTGAAAATGTAATTTTTTAGTTTTATTGGAAGTCATTCAGTGAGAAAGTCAGCATTGCATCTCACATATTGATGCAGTACTGACTACGTAAGTATTATGACATACTGCTGTTTTTTTTTCTATGTTTAATCAAATCTTTCAATAGTTTTTGCCAATTTCAAAATTTGCCTTGAATTACCCCTAATGTCTAACTACAGGCGAACAATAAACTACAAAAGCAACTTACATGTACTCACCCATAAAGAACAATATTTTTGTTTTCAAAACAAGTTACTTCTGCACATTTTCCTGCCACCCTTTTTGTTTGATTGTTAGCTAAACCTCCAATTCTATATAAGTTTGTATAGCAGTGGTATCGTAGATCAGCTGATAACAAGAATATAACTATTATTCAGATTCAGGTTAACATAATTTTGCACAAAATAATTTTTATCACAAACTGACTTCAAGTATTCTGACAGGAGCATCATAGTATACACTACCAAATAATATTTATCATTGGTATTTGTAGCACTTTATCAGAAAAATGTATATACAATGTAGAAAATGACTTTGAATAGAACAAAGCTTATACATATGAGTAGAATTGTAGGAATCCAGACTTCCCAACTTATAACCTTTAAATTGTATTTAGACCCACAAAGATTTGGGTTTGACTAGGGATTCACAAACTAAGGATATTATTATTGTTGGGAGTTTACTTGTGTGGCTAGTTACATAACTCTGTCTTCATCTCTCGGTATTTTTGACAAACAAAAAAGCTCAGTTGACTGTATTACCTGAGAAATAAAAGTTTTAGAGTGGTATGTTGTGAGAAATAGTTGAACTTTTTTTACTTCAAAGCAATATGCTAAAACCATTGTGAATACACCCAGAAATCTCATTTTTTGAAGTTTTTAGGTACATTTTTGCACGTTACAGTATACAGGGTGTTTCACTGGGAGAGGGAGATATTTTAACCGTCGATAGAAGCCACTGTGGCGATTACAAATAACCTATGGTTGATGGGTCTTTACCATCTTATAACCGAGATACGAGTTTTATCAATTTTGACCATTTCTTTGTGACCTCACAACTTGGTATGCTCACTCAGCTTATGATATCCTATAGGCTTTGATACGAGCAGAAAACGAAATAAGGTTACCCAGAAACAACACCCTGGGTATTGTTTCTTAATTTCTTATTTGAGCAGACGATTTTGCAGACCTGTAGGAGCTAATTTCGTTTATTCTCGTATTTTGGAATACAAAGCTGGAGTCTTTATGGTCTATTAATTTTATGTGATTTGGATGGGTACCATCAAGCCAATGTTGTAATTTACACCGTCTGTGATGCTCCGACATGTTGTTTGTAAGTTTGACACTTTCTTAATGCAAATTTCCTAAATATATGGATACGCAGTCGCCAACCTTTGGTCCTTAATACGGACCTGGAAGTATATGTTGGTGTTCAAGATGAATATTAATAAGATGACCTTCTGAACATAAATTTAGCGCGTCTTAAATATTAGATTACAAAATTAATAGACCAAACAATCTCCGACCTTTTACTGGAAAATGAACAAAATCACTATCTCCAGCTAGCTCGACAGAATTTTGTTTACAAATATGTAAAGAAAACTCAGAAATCCAACTATACAAGGGTGTTGTTTTTGGTTAAAACGGATTTGTTAAATTTTAACTATTCTGGACCTGTATTTCAATCCCTTTGGTATCGCAGTTGCTTCAATAGCATATGCTGGGTATGCCTACCATGGTTCAGAAAGAAATTATGAGTGGTTAAAAAGTTTTAAAATCCATAAGTTTCCCTCAATTTCTTCTATGTATAAGAGGCTAAAGGGCTATCAACTATAGGTCACCACAGTGACCTCTATCCATAGTTAAAATATTTCCCTTTCCCAGTGAAACACACTCTATTCTTGAAAATTTAATTTTTGTACTTACTATTTACCTTAGGATCATTGGGAATGATTGCTTGCTGGGCAGAACTAAAGTAAGACGTGGCCAAAACAAATAGCAAATGCATCAGGATACTAATTTTTTCTTTCAATATTTGGAAATAGCTGAATGTAAGATCAATGATGCCTTGATCACTAGATTTATCAGCCCAATTCACTTTGTTCGAATTATCTGAAAGTCGACTTTTTTATATTCCACAATGAGTTTATGCATACATTGCCTCAAGTACTAAAAATCAAGAATAAATATATTTTAGATAACAGTGCCATATTTCCTGTATTTATTATGGTATTATCATTGTTTGATTCAGACACAATTTCCAACTATCTACCGAGATTGTTAGGCGATTGAAATATTTGATTATCTGCTTTCATGCAGGTATGGTTCCACATAATTGTTTCATTACCACAATGAAGAGTTTATTTTAAATATATTGATTTGTTTTCATCAAAGTATCCAAAAGTACTAAAAGCTAATGAGCTCTGCAGTATCGGATTGCTAGTAGTTTGTTGTAATATGCGCGATCAATATAATTATTATTTTCAATCACGCTTTTAACTTCATACGCATCTTGTTTTCATATGCTTATATGTCATGTAAGATATGACCTCAGATACACAATTACCTTTCTTAAGTAATAGGCTATAGACGCATTAACATCTGCCATCTGCTCGAATACAGAGTGTCTTAAGGAATGTAAGTGCATTTGACTAGATGTGTTGTTGTTGTTGTATAAGATCCCGGGGCTTCCAAACATTTCTTATTTATTCAAAGACAAAACTTGGGGCATGCAGATACCAGGTGAGAAAGGTAGGTAAACATAAGTCTAACTTAAAGTTTCATGGTTGATTTTTACACATGCTTTGTCACATTATTACAGAATAGTAATCATCACTGCCAGTGACCTACCGCAGGCGATAACTTTCGCCAGATACTTTGAAGCTCCCGAAAAAATAATTGAATGTTATTCAATTCTCATGTTTAATTTTCATATATGCTGTTTAGGGTACCATTTTAAAAATATACAGGGTGTTCATTTGAAAACTTCCCACCACTGATTTATCGAAAACCAGTGATTAAAAGGAAAAACGCCAAGACACGTCAAGGGCGACAAATTTTTAACCAAAAGCTTTTAAAGTTTAAATGACAAGGGGTATCGAGTAATAGCTTGTTGAAACGTCTTTTGAAGTCCTTTATTTTGACGTTTCATTTTTTAAAATCGGTCGATTCGTTTTCAAGAAAATTGGAAAAAGCTTTATATATTTTAATTTGTTTCGATAGAAAACAAAAACAAACGAAAATACCACTTTTTATTTCAGTAAGTGTTCAAAATGTTGCCCTTTATTGGCCAAAAAATGATATAGCCGATGTTCAAATTCCTGACGGACATTTTCAAAAACATGTTGTGGCAGCTTTCGATGATGCGTTGACGAAGTTCATCCAAACTTTCAGGTTGGAGAGTAAACACAATGGATTTCAAATGGCCCCATAGACAAAAGCCTAATGGCGTCAAATCAGGAGATCTAGCTGGCCATTCTCTAGGCCCTCTTGGCCCTATCCATTTATCTGGAAACTCGTCGTTTAGCCTTTGCTGAACCGGAAGAACATAGTGAGGAGGAGGGCCATCTTGTTGGAAATATATTTCAACCTCATCAAGTAAAGGGTTTCCATCCTCTTCGATTTGGTTTTCAATGGTTTTAGTGATAAGCGGATTGATGGTATTTTCCAACATATCCAAATAAATGTCTCTATTCAGATTTCCGTTAATAAACGATGGTCCAATCACTTTGTTTCCTAAAATCCCTACCTATACATTAATTTTTTGGGGGTACTGGGTATGGCCTTCTACAAAAGCATGAGGGTTTCAGTGCTCGAATACCTGCAGTTGTGCTAATTAACAAAACCATTTAGATAAAATGTGCATTTACCATCGAAGCAGATATTCTTTACATGAATGGTATTATCATTAATCGCTGCAGTCATTTGTTCACAAAACTCGACTCGCCTATCGAAATAATCTTCGGTTGACTCTTGCAATATTTTCATTTTGAATGGATAAAGTTTATGGAGTTTAGTAGCTGTGTGTACAAAGCCTGATGAAATACCAGTCACAGCAACATTTTTGCGTAATGAAGTATTAGAATCTATTTCAAAATGACCCAAAACTTCAACTTGAACGGCTTCATCCAAAACTCTCCGATGATTAGGTTTTTTATTTGCAACAGATCCAGTTTGAGTAAATTTAGTAACAAGGTCCGAAACATACCTATGCGAAGTTATCTTCCCCGGATCTTTGGCATTAAACGTGACGTGATGGCAGTTTGCCGAGCACATTGATTTGGGGCACCATAAATTAGAATCATTTTCACTCTTTCGGCTAGTGTGTAAACCATTTTGGAAGTAAAATCTGAATCAATAAAGTAATGTTCACTATCCCAAGATTGCCTCAAAGGTAACTGACAGCAAATTAATTTTTTTCCCTTAGCAACAAATAACTAAACAGGTATAACAATAAATGCAGTTCGCTCAGGATATCTGTGTTATTGAAAATAATACGGAAAAAAATGGGGTTGTTATTTGGTTGCTGCCACGTCTAATCTTCCGAATTGCTGTTTATGTGGAGTGTTTCCGTTTTAAATTATAAACGAATTGTAGATTTGGCAAACCCTAACGGGCAACACTTTGAACACTGCTCAAAGAAAAAGTAATATTTTCGTGTGTTTTCTGCTATTACTCGATACCGCTTGTCATTTAAAATTTTTAAGGGAATGACTCTCTGTGGCCGAGGGTGAAGTAGTTTTTGTTTAAAAAGTTGTCCCCTTGACAAATCTTTTGACGTGTCTCGGCGTTTTTTTTATCAGTGGTTTTCGATAAATCCGTGGTGGGAAGTTTTCAATTGAACACTTTGTATGCTTAGCCAGACAAATCGGAAAGGCCAAACATCCTGTCAGACACAAAAAAAAACATTCAGCCGTGTCTTGGGATATATAAAAATCAACCATGAAAATCTAAGTAGAATTACTCTTATTTTTACTTACCTTTGTCATCTGGTCAGTAAGTCTGACCACTACCCAGCTTAGCATCAAGTTTTGTCTTCGAGAAAATAACTTATCTCTGGCATCCTTCGGTACTTGAAATGTGGTGTCAAATTAACGTTAGATTGAAGATCTTTGAACCCTTTGTAATCAAGGAACGATATTTAGGCCAGATCACATAATATACAGGTATTTTACAGGCGAATCAAACTTGGTACGTTTAGGTAATTACATCTTATGTATTCTCATAAAAATTAGTTTTTTTGCGGTTCCTCTAATCGCGTTGCCTATGCTTCGATAGTTACTAGTTTTATAATTGCAAGTAAAAACATTACTGAGCAATAACAGAAAATATATGCAGAAGAAATAACAATACCGACGTTTCAGCTGGTAGGGTAAAAAATATCAAGGCTTACATCAAATTGTGCATATTATTTTCGTTTAAGATACTCTGTATATAACAAACAATATTGATACTAATAATATATGCGGTAGTTTAACCTGTTTATGATATCATATCTATTCTTGATTTGTAAAACTGTGCGGAGGGTATAAAACTACTGTTGCATGAATATGTTAGCTCGTTGACAAAACCACCGATAGAGTCGAGTATACATTTTGATAGATTGAAAAATGGGTATCTTCGTCTGTTTATTATTTGTACTGGCCACTATCCACTTCTCTAGTGCCGCTCAATCAATCATCCCGAATGATCCCAAAGTGAACAGTAAGTAGGCGACATTTAAATTTAGATTGCGTGAACATTTACAGAATAAGCTGAACATTTTTTAAATTCACATTACTTTGAAATGAACTTAAGACATTATTTAATTTGAGCTACAGATGAATTTAGCATAATCATATTCGGAATTATTAAGATAGTAGTATGTTATCGTTAGCGAAGTCTAACATCTTTGATCCACTTAACTGAAGATCTTGATTATTACATACATACATACATTTCAATATTAGTATTATAAATGGCAAAAAATTATCGAAACCACAAATCCCAAATCAAAAAAGAAAAAGATGAAGATTATTGCGTCTAATATGTTCCTAAAATAAATACATTTTTTCTTTTAACTATAATGCCATCACTAGTTTTCACTGAAACGAGAATCTGGTTGTAAAGCCTGGTGCAATTGCAAGTAAATGAACGTTAAAATTAATTCAAGTCTTATGAATGGGAATACTTAGTAACTATACATTACGTTCATTAATGCTGTGCCCCATGTGCCTAAATTTTATTTTTTCATACAGCTATTTCTGCACCTTAACAACAATTGTTTTATTCATTAGATTCATATAGATTCATCCACTTTATTTTGTTGATAAGTGGGGAGCAGAACACTAACACAAGATTTCTTGGACCTAGTGGCTTCCTTCGGGATACCTGGTCCAAACATGAGCCTTATACCATACTACATTTTTTTGTTTTTTATTGTATTCGGTCAATTGGTTATGAATGAAAATATAATAAAAGGGTTATTTGCGTGTTGCCAGAGTTTGGTTTGAAATTGCAAATTGCGACATTTTTCTTTTCGTAATGCCCAAATGGCTATTAAACTGATATGGAACATGTTTGTTGCCAGCTGATCCTAAACACCATTGTTTCACAAACGTCTCTGGAATTGGTGGTTTGGTTAAAAATCAGACAGTCAGGGTTGAAGGAGAATGTTCAGAAGCTACTTGTCATGATGATAAGAGCATTGTACTTAGTGGGTAAGTATTTATGGTAAACGAAGAAAATCACATCTATCAACATTGAAGTTGGGTAGGGAACAAATTATTTTGCTTGAGTAAATCTTTAATAATACGTAATAATCGAAACCTGCCTGTTCTGTTTCTTATTATGTTTATAATGAGAGAAATCGTTAACTACATAACTTGAGATTTGGGCGATGAACATTTTTCAAAATTATAGAAAGTTCTAAAGTAAGATATTGCCAGTGAATAAGGTTCATATTAACTTAAAATTGTTATAAACAGTATTTTTGGATAGATGGTGTTGTCTGAGTATCATATTTTTTGACCCAATGACATTATAATAGTGCCCAAAATATTTCATTTTCAGTTGTCCAGCAGTTGGAGCACCCCCTGGCTGTCAAGTATTGCCTGGAGACTTGAGCAAACCATATCCTGAATGCTGTTTCACAATTAAATGTTGATAAACCATATCCATCTGCAGAACTTGTTGATATATTATTACGAGAGTTGACTTATTTTACCAGATTGCATTATTATATAGGATAGTTTTAATAAACTATTACAAATCGACATTCCATCATAAATGTGCATTCAATTAGATTGGGCTCGTATCTATTTATTACTTCATGCTTATTAATTTATTTTAGAATAATTTTCGATTTCCACCGATTGTGATAAAAGCAACACATCCCGAGTTATTGTTACATTTTGCAACAGCCAGCTGTCGGCAAATGTAATAAATACCGTTACGTAATGCAAATTATGTTTTCACCTGCGCGTACGTAAGGTGGAAACCTTGCCTTGGAATGAACGTTCAATAAATGATGCGGTGTTATCAAACGAACCACTAATGCAATGTTACAGAATTTGTGGCGATCCTAACCTTTCATTTCGACCTAAAATGAAGAGCGCGTTACGACCGATCCGGAATCGATCCTAAACAGATTCGACACAATTCAAATTATTTGGGTGTAGAGAATAAATTATTATTTTCAACATGCATCTTAATTCAAGGAACTGGTGTAACATATTGGCACTGCGGCACATTGCTGCGTCAGCGTTGCTAGAAAACGCGGTGATGAGCTTCACTATCCAGCCGGCTTCTATCTCTTTCTAACATACGTATCTATACACACTTTTCACTCGTACACATTGAACTCGAGCCGTCACACATTTGGTTTTCAGTATATTTCCAACGTCAGGTGTGCCTCAGGGCTCATGCCTTGCTCCTCTGCTTTTAATATTGATTATTACCATTTGATGTATGCACATGACTTGAACGTTGTTTACGGTGTCGAAAACGGCGCGCATTGTGTTCGTTTACAGGGTGACTTCGATAAGGTAGTAGAATGGTTTGCCATAAACAATCATCTCTCAATCAACATCAGCGCATGTAGTATTATGCCAAACACTTGAGAGGTAGTTTCCGTTGAATCCAATGATCGAGTCGCTAATGGTCGTTTGCAGAGAGTAGGTGTGATCTTTGACAATTCTCTTAGCTTCAATTCACCTATTTGTATAAAGCAAATTCTTCTAGCTGTTAATAGATCCTTGGGGTTTGTGACATGGAATTCCAAGGAGTTACTAACAATGAGACAGTTATCATGCTTTTCAACTACTTCGTGTTTTAAATTATGGTATGCAAGGATAGTATGGAACCCCTGCTATGTGACCGCATGAGACTCTTTCGAGAAGGTGCAGCGTAAGTTCTTGGAGTTTTTGTCTTGTAAAACCGAGGGCACATATCAGCCTATTGGAACCCCTCAGGCCGAGCTATTACAAAAACATGGTTTCGTTAATTTAGATAATAGAAGGAGACTTATATTTCTGTACAAAACAGTCCATAGTAATTGGTATATCTGTTGGTGGGGTATAAATAAATAACAACATGAAACTGGGCAGTTCAGCATTGATAAAATTGAAACACAATGTAAAATATTCCTCGATTAATTTCCATTGCTTAAACTAATCCAGTAATTACGTATTATTATTTTCCCTGAAAATAAAGTTGTCTATAGGTCTAAAAACTTCCTAAACAAGGAGGGTAAACATTATTGGAAAAAGTTGTTCGTTAGTCAGCTTTCCAAAATGGTATTAGACATCAGTAGGAGGGCCTTTCATTCTTAACAGTCAGTCAATCCGGTGTAGGTCAAATAATATTCCTTTGACTTTTTTACATAATTTTAACAACTATTCCAAGTCAACGTTATATTTGCCCTTTTTGGCAGATGATTTATTTTATTATTCAGACTCAAATATACAGTTTCTGGTGATAGTGGAAAAATTTCAGAAAAAAAAAATACATAGAATGAAATTTGTTGCATTTAGGACACCTATCACGTCCTGGAAGGAATGTGGCGAATTGCCAGTAGCCAGTAGCGATCGTAATATGCTTATACTTTGTTCTCATAAATATAATACTTACAAAATACATAATACATGGACATAATTTGTATCACAAGTGTGTTTTTGATTTGTTAAAATTTTTCACACATGTCGAAATTATCGGCATATCTGGGCCCACACGAATAATTGAATCACTGTTATATAGTAGTTAATTGAATTTTATTTTCACACAATTTTAATTATCAGTATTTCATATTATTATTGGTTCCCAAACCTCCAGCCATTATATTCAAGTAAGTTGACAAACCACATGAATACCATGGGTGTCTTGATTTACATATTGTTTCTTCTGGTTACTGTACATTTTTCTATTGGGAACGAAATAATTCCTCATTCTCGATATAATGGTAAGTATAATGATTTGATTGCCGAACACCGCGAAAACATCGAAATTAGTCAATTATCATGGATTTGCGAAATACTTTGCTGTTTACAAATTTACATTTAACTTTAAATGCCATTTGATATAGATGTATCTCAATTTATTGCTTTCTCTAAATCTGTATAAACCCCCAGCTAATATTTAACTGGTAATGGTAATAATCAGAGTAAAGTTACAAAATAACTGTAGATATTTTTTTGTGTGGCTAGTTGATCCAAGATACCACTGTTACACGGAAAGCTACAACATCGGAGGCCTAGCAAACCAACAGACGATAAGAATCAAAAGCAAGTGTGCAGAAGCGACTTGTTTGGATAACAGGGATATTATGGTTTTCAGGTGAGAAACATCTTAAGTGGTCATGGATACTTTCATGTATTTGTATTGAGACTCCTGTAAACTGAGGTATCTGAACCAGCATAAAAACAACCACAGCATAATAACCGACCTTCCTAAGCTAAATGCAATACCTGAAACTTATCCTGTGGAAAAATATGATAAATGCTGCAGCTATAAATGCTGAAAAAATGTATAATTAGTTTTTTTTATAAAAAAAGATCACCCATTGCGACTCGTGGACAAATTAAAGCAATATTAAAATAAAAATGTAAATTAACTACAAATTTCCATTTAAAACATTGATTTGTCAACTTTATCGGCTTCAAGTTTATTTCTGCTGACGAGACTGCTTGCTCACTCTTTGAAAAAAGCCGCTCGCATGGCACAGATGAGATACACACGTTTTTTATCCAGCACAACTAATCTGGGATATATTTTGCTCATTCCTGGCGTCACTTCAGGGGTAACAAGATGTTTTACCGCAAGGTCTGATACTGTTTTCTTCTTCAGTTCATTTTCCGCTTGACTTTTATCTGCGATACTTCGCAAGGACTTCTACTAACCTAGGGTTGCCGAGGTTTGTATTATTTAAAAATAAACTGGTGAAATCAAAAAACAACAGTATACAGGGTGTTTTAGTTTATTGTTGCATAACTTTAAGATTCGATATAACTTTTAAAATTAATGCATAAAGTCTATATAAACATGGGTCGAAAAATGCGTGGCTTCCGAAATA